GACCACGAAGGAATGCTGCCATAAGGCTCAAGGAAGAAGCTGCTTCAACTCCCAGAAGCGTTCGAGGACGTCGTCAGGCCAAGGAAACTAAGGAAGAAGGATCAACTGCGACTCCGAAACGAACAGCGGGACGCGGTAAAATCCTATCATCTCAAGAAGTTGTCGAGAACCAAGAAACAGCGCCGGTGGATGAAAAACCGAAATCTGTCGCCAAATCTCGTGGAAAACGCGTTGCTGAAAAAGTGGAAGTGATAGAAAGTGCTCCTTCACCACCGAAGAAATCTCGTGGCCGAGGTAAAAAACAAGCACAGAAGCAAGAAGAGCAAGTTGTTGCTGAAACTGAAGTGATCGTCGAGGTAGAATCAAAGGCCAACAAAAAAAGTCGCGGGAAAAACGCACCAGCTGCGTCCAACGGAATTCTTTGGGGACATGGACGGGTTCGGCGAGCTGCACCAGCACCTTTCTTCCTCCAGTTTGGACTTCTTAGGCTTGACCTTCATCGCTTGTTTAGGTGAGGAAACTTCGGGCAACAGGGACTCCGTCAGGCAGAAGTTGAGACTATTTCTCCAAAGGGCAAACGAGGGCGAGGTCGAAAGCGAAATGCTCCAACTGCAGCCGAAGAACCACAGGTTTCTGAGGAGCCCCCAGCGGTATCTCCCCCAAAACGCGGACGAGCCAAGGTCAAGAAAGAAGCTGTGCCATCCACGCCGAAAGAAATGCCTGTTGCAGATGAAAAATCTGCAAAGAGGGATCACAATGCTGGGACGATCGAGGAAAGCGTTGAGCTTCAAGATACTGAGACACAGCCGCCGTCAAGACGAGGTCGTCGAGGTCCAGCCAAGTCTGAGACCGTAGAAAATGAGGCTTCGGAAACGCCTGCGAAACGTGGTCGTCGAGGGCGTGCGGCCAAAGCTGCTGTCCCGAATGACATGGATGAGCAAGAGATTACCCCGCTTCAAAGAAGCGTCTTTAGAGCTTCTCCTCGACGACGTAATTTTTGTCTACAACGGCTGTTCTGGAGCTGGGGACGCTTTGCTCCCTTTCGACGAGCCTTTTAACAGCTTTTATGCCGCCTCAAAAAAGTGTGAGTTTCAGAGCTTTCCTTCGATTAGTATCTGTCTAATCCAGTGGTCCCCAACCCGCGGGAAATCTTCTGCAGCATGATGAACTGAGAAAAGTAGCAATGAAGTCTGTTATCTTCATCTGAAGCCTTGGAAAAACATGAGTTGGCTTTTCTCTTGATTACACTTCAGGAAAATACTGTATTCACATGCTTAAATACACCATTTTAATTTTTTTCAGTCCAAGAAACCTTTCCTCAAGTAGTCAAGCCTGCCTTTCTAATTTTTTGAAAACATTCCACTATATACCTGCTTAATTGGATCTTAATTTTTGACATTTAAAAAGCTGAAACTTTTTAGATGCCTGGCATAAAGCTTTCTTTAAAAATGTGTCAAAACTTTGCTAGTCTGAAGAAAATTTTTGGGAAATTTGCCGGTCCGCAAAAAATTTTAAGGCAATTTTCCAGTCCGTGGGCCCGGAAAGTTTGGGGAGCACTGAACTCTAATCTAATTAATTGGATGTAAACAGGTCTAGAATGGCGTATATCCCATCTTTCGCCCTATTATAAATTATTTATTCTAGTGTCTCTGGAACTTCTGAAAGGGGTTTCTGCATTCTATTGATGAATATTTATCGTGTTTTTAGCGATTGTATTGATGCCGAGCCGCAGCCCGTGAAAGACGCCACTCCCGCGAAACGTGGTAGACCCGGAGCGAAGGCGAAAGCGAACATTGCAGATGTTGTCACGTAAGCAGTCACTTTTTTGGGACTTCTTATTCCATTAGTGATCAATTAGCGCTGCCAGCGCGTTTCAGAGATATTTTAGCAGTTGTATCACGATGCCTGTAACATAATTGAAACGTATCTGCTGCGAATCATTCTTCTATTAGAAGTTTTTTCAAAATCTGAATCCATTCTATGCCTCTTATTGCACAGCGATGCTACCGTTGATGGACAAAGCGGGGAAGAATCTGCCCAATCGAAGAAAGCTACGCCAGCGAAGCGTGGTAGACCTGCTGGCAAAGCTAAAGCTCTTGCTACGTAAGTGCACTTTTGTTGCCTCCAAGGAACAACTTCAGAAATCTCAGATTAGATGGATTCCTTTAGTTTCTAAATAACCCAGTGTCGGCTTTCTTTCAAGGACGTTATAATCGGATAATCAATCTTGATGAATTTTTACCGTTCAGAGGCTTTATAACTGCTAAGAAAACAAGATTAGTTCTTGACTTTTTTCGTAAAGACATGTGTAAGACTCCTCGAGATCGAAAAATATTCATTCGGTTATCTCTGGTTTGTTGATTTTAATCCACGAATCCCCAAACTTATTTTGATTCCATTTCCTAACTGATTTGCCTGTAGTGATCATGGTGTTTCGGAGGAAAATACAGAACATCCGCTGCAAATTAAGGAAGCCACGCCGGCAAAGCGTGGGCGAGGTGCTGGTAAAGCGAAAGCTCAGGCAACGTGAGTACTATAGTGCGTACTAAATATTTCCCTGCTGTCAATACTTGTCAATCAGCTGATAAGTTTTGGATCCTGCTGAACCTGAACGCAACTTCTGCGGGACGGTAAGGATTATTGTGGCGTAATTTGTCTTCGTAAACCTGAATGTTCATGACTACTTCTTTATTCGTTTTGATTTATTTTTAGAAAATTCGTGTAGCGGATTTTTTTTATACTTGAAATGATTGTATATTTTTTATTTCTTGTCATACTGTAATTCTAGTGTTCCAGAGGAATCTGCAGAACCACAGCCCGTTAAAGAAGCAACACCAGCGAAACGTGGGAGACCTGCTGGCAAAGCTAAAGCTCAATCAACGTAAGTGCTCTTACATTTCTTCGCTGTAATGTCATTGTTATACAGGAGTGAATTATCCTTTTTTTTAACCAATTGCCCGTTCTTCGGATTTAGTTGAATTCAACTGCTTTTTTGGTAGATAAGTGTGTCTTTTTCCTTGTACCAATTTTTCCACATTTAAAACGTCGATGTGCATCATGAACGGGTAGAAGTTACCCCTTAGTGTTTTTCACCCAGGTGTGCATTAATAAAGGGGTTGAGATTTGAATACAAATTATAATCGACCAAATTTTTTTTTTCTAAACGTCCATCGTACAGATATTTGAGGGCGTTGATCTTGTATCTTGTTCGAAATGTTGTGCAAGAATTATGGGCTATGAAATATGTTAATTGGTTTAGTTTGGTTTTTTTCATTTCAAGTCGTAAAATTAATTTGACACTTTTTTTTCTCGTCCTTCATATTCTTGCTGAACAGTGATGTTGGTGTTACGGAGGACGGTGCAGAAAATCCGCCCAGCGTTAAGAAACCGACCCCGGCGAAACGTGGGAGAGCTGCTGCAAAGACGAAGGGAATTTCTGTCGAGTCCATTCCGTGAGTATGCCATTAAATCTTAGTTTCAGGTCTAATGTGTTCATTATGAACCAGATGAACGGAAATTAGATACTTTCTCCGAGAAATTCAAGTTTCGTGAGTTAATTATCCTCTTTGAATGTTTGAATGCTTGTTTCAGTGTCGAAGAAGCAGTACCTGCAAGTTCTCCAGTATCCTCTAAAGGAAGGAAGAAGCGGTAATTGAACTTACTTCGAATGTTCTAATGCTCCATAATGTTCTCACGCGTTTATATGTTTCTGAAGGGGTGCTGTTGAAGTTGAAAAAGTGGCATCACCAGTCAAAACAAGGACAAGAGCTGCACGGAAATAATTCCCTCGACTGTGGAAAGGACCACCGTTGACTTTTTATTGTAGTACCGTACATCTTTTTTTGTATTGCTACATTTTGAACGCGCGTATAATATTTTTTGAAGTTTCGTATTTGTAACATTGTACTTTTCTGTGTGTGGAAACGAACTTTGCAATCATAATTGGTAGATTTGAGTTGATCGAATTTTCTTTCCTTTACTTAGTATGGTGTAATTGCATGGGCATGATTTTGTAAAGAGTTTTAAGTTTGGCACTTCATTTGTACATTTGAAAGTATTTTAGTCTTCACACCGAAACTCGGATTTCGCGTCTTCTGAAGTACCTTATCCATCTGAATCCGCCGGTTCATTGAAAATAAAGGGATTTTTCGTACTCACGGGTCTGGTGTGCCGATAATTTGTTTAAGGAAGACTAGATTACTTCTTTAAAACTTCCTATCGATAAACTTATAACTGATAGGACAAGACACGAACTGGCCTTTTAATGTAGCGGCAAGACGACATAATATAAGTAAGGAAGTCAAAAAAAAGCTTTCCATTGTTTCCGTCAATGTACAGTACTGTACAGAGCTTCTATTCATAGTCAATGGCATGCTTTGGATGAGTAATTCAATGCATTAATTATGTAGCATTAGTCATACAGTGCTGTTCAACGGTAAGTCCTAGTGCGTCATGACATTTATCGGGAAACATTCTGCAAGACTTCCTACTCAGCTATCAAAATTGTACCTTTTTGGACGAAGCAAGAACTTTCCAGCAGTGAAATGGGTTGTTTTGGTTAACCACTTGCCAGCACAGTATCTCCAACTGTTTTGTTGCCATGTTATCTGATCATTTTCTTACAGTGGATGCCAACTCCCTCGTCAATTAATTTCCTTGGCGTTTTGCTTGTTATAATTTCTAGATCTAACCTGATACCTCATGCATCAATTATTTTACTCAGCTTTTTCTTCGTTATAACTTTTAAATGTCTTTTTTTCTCTCCGTGAATATGTTTTTCTGCCCGCCGGGTTTTTTTTATTACTACGTTACAGTACTTTGTATCCAAAATGTTAGCTATGGCCCTATCTATTGTACTGTATACTTGACATCGGTTGTTGCTGTACCTAAATTAAAATTGCATTTCAGCCTCATATGCGGTTGAAGCATGGAATTGCTGCTGGAAAGGTTATGAAGAAATCGAGGGAAAATTGGGAAGAAACGGCGAGGAGATTTGCTTGCTGAATATATTCCATGATAAGCATGAAACTTCTTGATGATGCAGCGCTGAACGTGAAGCGTCCAAGATGGTAAGAGTTTTGTTGCATTTCCGGTCCATCTTACATGCGATCAAAGGTATAAAACTGTTCGCTAGCTGTTGGCCATGACAGGCTGATTTAATCGGGGCTATAAACATACAGCATATACTGTACACTTGTACAGTATACTAACAATCAGGCATTTTCATATGCAAATGATCCTGGTTATATCAGGAAATAAAAATTAAGTGTTGGACGTTCGCGGGATAGGAGAACCGAATTAAATTTCCTGCTTTTGCTTATTACCGCGGCCAATTTTCGATACTGTGAACACCGTAAGTTGTTTTTCCAGAAGTTTATGAGACCTTTCCTTATTATTCCTAGCTGCCCATGTTCAGAAAATACAGTCGAACCATTTGTAAGCCGAATTTCAAAATTCCTTCTGATCTAATGAAGAAATTTTGAAGGATAGCTATTTGAATATTGACTATCCTGTTCTGTGCTTGACCGGAAAATTACATCGCCGTTCTGCTGTATTATATTCATTCCTTCAGTTTTTTTTTTGCTTTCCATTGTTTCCGTCAATGTACAGTACTGTACAGAGCTTCTATTTATAGTCAATGGCATGCTTCGGATGAGTAATTCAATGCATTAATTATGTAGCATTAGTCATACAGTGCTGTTCAACGGTAAGTCCTAGTGCGTCATGAAATTTATCGGGAAACATTCTGCAAGACTTCCTACTCAGCCATCAAAATTGTACCTTTTTGGACGAAGCAAGAACTTTCCAGCAGTGAAATGGGTTGTTTTGGTTAACCACTTGCCCGCACAGTATCTCCAACTGTTTTGTTGCCATGTTATCTGATCATTTTATTACAGTGGATGCCAACTCCCTCGTCAATTAATTTCCTTGGCGTTTTGCTTGTTATAATTTCTAGATCTAACCTGATACCTCATGCATCAATTATTTTACTCAGCTTTTTCTTTGTTATAACTTTTAAATGTCTTTTTTTTTCTCTCCGTGAATATGTTTTTCTGCCCGCCGTGTTTTTTTTTATTACTACGTTACAGTACTGTGTATCCAAAATGTTAGCTATGGCCCTATCTATTTTACTGTATACTTAACATCGGTTGTTGCTATACCTAAATTAAAATTGCATTTCAGCTTCATATGCGGTTGAAGCATGGAATTACTGCTGGAAAGGTTATGAAGAAATCGAGGTAAAATTGGGAAGAAACGGCGAGGAGATTTGCTTGCTGAATATATTCCATCATAAAGCATGAAACTTCTTGATGATGCAGCGCTGAACGTGAAGCGTCCAAGATGGTAAGAGTTTTGTTGCATTTCCGGTCCATCTTACATGCGATCAAAGGTATAAAACAGTTCGCTAGCTGTTGACCATGACAGGCTGATTTAATCGGGGCTATAAACATTCAGCATATACTGTACACTTGTACAGTAAACTAACAATCAGGCATTTTCATATGCAAATGATCCTGGTTATATCAGGAAATAAAAATTAAGTGTTCGACGTTCGCGGGATAGGAAAACCGAATTAAATTTCCTGCTTTTGCTTATTACTGCGGCCAATTTTCGATACTGTGAACACCGTAAGTTGTTTTTCCAGAAGTTTATGAGACCTTTCCTTATTATTCCTAGCTGCCCATGTTCAGAAAATACAGTCGAACCATTTGTAAGCCGAATTTCAAGGTATACCAGCAAACAAGTTCGAATCAGAAAGGTTTAGAGTTTGGGGAAAAAACTTTTTTGTTGTGGGAAATGTAGAATTACAGGAAATTGTAAATGGTGATATTCTGGGTCTTCAATTGAGTCTTGAATCAGTTTATACAGCATGCTGCACTTGGATGCAGGGTTCATTTGTCAAATTAGTCTGTTGCTTCCTTTCAAAACACTTGTTTTATTGATTTTCTCTTTCATGTGTCAAGAAAATAATATAGGCATGAGGCATTTGAAAATTTGAGTTATGGAGGTTTCAGAGGAAAAGCCTTCGAGTTATGGAGGTTTTAGAGAAAAAGCCTTCAAGTTATGAAAGTTTTTAATGCATTTATTGTTTCCAAGTAGTGAATTCAGACAGGAACTTGAAAAAAATTTTGACTTACTGTACAGCATAGGTTTTACTGCTGCATTTTTTTACATTGTAAATATTTCTAGCAACAGTACAAATAATATATTGCATTGTATACAGTATACACAAATAAAAAAAATTACTACTTGTTCTAGGTCATCCACTTATCCTGAACATCAGTCATGCTGTTTGCAAAGTGTTCTAAAATATCAAAATACAGTACATTACCCATATACATATTTTTTGTGTGGATAATTTACTTTTATTTGCTTTTTTGTTCCGATATATTCGCAGGCGGAAAAATGAGGACCAATGCGATATTCCTTATAGTACTGCTGATGAAGGTAGTGCATGAAGCAGCAGCAGAGCTGTTCTTGACTGAAGCAGGACTTTCAATGGTCTTGGATCCAGTATCAACAGCAGTCATCACGAGGAAATCGAGAGTAGAATGTGCTGCCGTGTGTTTCATGAGGACCAACTGCTCCGCGTTGATGTTTGTTGGTGCGAGAAAAAACTGCAGAAATCAATCATCCGATCGATGTAAGTATTATAATAATGTTCGCGTTTCAGAGATGAAATCGGAGTGCAAACTCTACGAGATGGCGCCACATGCGGCTTGGGCCAACACAGGAGATGCTGCAATGAACAACAATAACACCTTGGGAAAGTTAATTTTCTCTCCAAGATGTAAGCACAGCCAAGTTGTCACATGCTGCAAAAAATTGTTCCTAAAATCGCAATCGCTTCAAAAATGATCTGAATTCGCAGATTATCTGAGCTCATTTGTGAGGCAGAATCAGACAGGGACATTCATCCAGTCCTCCAAAGATTTGGTGGTTGACTCTGCTGGTGACTGTGCAGTTATTTGTAGAATGACTGAGTTATGCAAAGCATTCAGTGTCACGCCTCGAAAAACGTTTACAGACAGAGTCTTGTGCAGGATCCCAGCTCCTGAAAATAATTACTGGGAGCCTCATCAAGAGACCCAATTGTATTTCGGTGAGGAATTCAAATCTCTAAGAATGTATTATTCTGTCAATTAATTCAATCAGACTGAGTTTATAATCTACTGTGTTCCGAGCCCGTTTTTGAAATTTTATGAGAACAAAATTCTGCAGGAATGCGAGAGATCAGTACGAATAAAGGGTTTACTCTGCTTTTTCGTCATTGCAGAGCCTCCAGCAGTTCCGAACCTACAGGAAGTTCACTTGGCAAAGGATGGAGATTTCTACAAAATTTCACAAGCTCCCCCCGATTTGCTGACAATTCCTGCTCATCTGAAGAAATGCGAATTTTTTGGAGGAGCAATCGCACCCATGTATCCCAAGAAACGAAGAACTGCCTTGGAAGAAATGATTTTGGAGAAATACCCCCAGTCCAGCAGTCTGGGCTGGCAAACCGCTGCTGCGGGCATGGGGACATCTAATGGAACACTCTTGATTCCTGCTAGTGAGAATATTTCAATAAACTTGCATAGATGTCGCTACAAATGAAACTTGATAGCGTACTTAACGATAAATTAATCTCGTTACATCAGTTATACAGGAGCATGTTTCTGCAATTAGTCCTTATACATTTGAGTTTTGTGACTTAAAAAAACCAATGCCAAACATTTTTTCTCTTTTAAGTCTCAAATAACATCGTGGATAGATCGCCTGGGCTATTCATAAATTCATTAAAATGAATTTATTCATTGTGATCATCAACTACAACGCGAGTGATAAATTCAGATTTATGCTATATATGCTGCTGTTATTGATTCTATATACCTGTGAATATCCAGCAGTCATATTAATACGCAAATAAGAGCAATAATTCTACCTAGTAGATCAACATTGGCCTTATTTTAACTTTAAACAATATACAATAGTCTTGATAATTGATGAGAGGAATTTATTGGATTGATTTTCCAGTCGGAATAAGCATAAAACCATCTCTGTCAGACCCTGACCAAGTATGGTTCAACAATACCTTACCTACCATCCAGAACAACGGTTGTTACTCACTTAAATTCAATGGCGGAAGTGTTGCATGGGACAATGCCAGTCAGTGCAACACGAATGTCTCTGGAATTTGCCTTTTGTCGAGAAACCCATACAAGTTCTGGACCAATGCTGAGCTGGAAAATCCGAGCTTGAGTGTTTTGGTGAACACTAATTCTGAATGCGCGAGATTGTGCAAACAGAGAAAAGTTGGCAGATGCCGCGGATTCAGCACTGAGCAAATATCAAACGGGAGCGTGTTGTGCAAATTGCCCGCATTTGGCGAAATTTACTGGACTGCAAAATCTTCTGCGAAGCTTCACTTTTGTGAGTGCAATACGCGAAATAATGGATAATAATGGATAATAACTGATGGGAAATTGTGCAGTGAAAAATTTTGGTTTTCAGATTTTATCATGAAGAACTGAAGAAAATCTACGAATTAATATTATTTTGCTAAATGTTTCCATCTATCTGTAAATCATGTTTTAATATAATATAATTGTATTATTTTGGTGATGCAGTACTGTACAAAAGTGGAACCAAAAGGACATACAGTAATGCTTTTAAAAATGATGAGTGGGCCCCGGCATAACTGAACAAATCCATTCCCCAATGACGTTTATTTTTCAAAAAATGCTGTTTTTTAAAGCCTGATTTACTTCACGTTCTACTCAAGTTTTTCAATCCATTCTAAAAAATAAACTAAAAAATAAACGAACTAAATTGATAGACCACGAAGGGTTTATGCCATTCGCATGATTCACCCATGTCTCGACACAATTTCAGAATAGCAAGCTTCAACTTCCGGAAATTTAAATGTTTCCGGGGGTGGATAATAAAATAAAACTTGAATTTTCTTTTTCTTTTACAATGTTTGCTTTGCCGTTGAGGCCAATGAGAAAATGTTTGAAATAAAAAAATCGCAGAAATTTATGATTTGTTCATCCTGAAAATGTTGTTAAATGAAAATGATTTACGGGGGTTTTTCTTCTGACAATATAAAAATATGTGCAAAATTGCTGGTACTGCATAAAAAAATTTATGCTGGACTGTACCCACTATATAAATTATTTTAACTGCTGATTCGAGAGAAAAATTTAAGAGTAAAACTCATTCAACCCTTTCGCTATTTATATATTTATCTCTCAAAATATATATTTATATATTTATCCTCAGCATTAACGTTATTTGTATCGTGAACGATTTTCAAGAGTGACCAATCGGCTGCTGACAAAGAAAAGAATTTTTGCCGTACTTCCGCTCATTTTTATCTTGATACTGTCATTTCCTGGATTCACGAATCTAAAGCTCTACAATATTATACAGTATATCTTCTAAATACCCCGTAGTACAGTATACTGTAAATAGATTGTACTCACTTTTATGTTATCCATAACTTTGAATTTAGCTTGTGAAATAAAGTTAGTCTCTGGATCTCAATTTTCAATTACTGTATATTGTTGAATCGGAGGATCTATCGGAGCAATTGCTCATTCTATAATAATACTTACGGACCGATTTATTTTCAGGAAATCATAGCAAAATACGTCAAGTTTCTTAAATTGATGTTATAGACACCGAACACTCGGTTTTCTTGAGCTTTTTCATCTGAAAGACCGTATGTATGGTAGAAAAAGAGGCGACCAAATACAAAATACTGTACCAATATTTCGCTGTGAATAATATATTCTTCCCTCTTTACAGTATGTGCTTTAAACTTTAAAGCGTAATATGCAGTAAAACCGCATAGGCTCCCAAGATGTGAAAGCTTGGTGCGCATTACTTGTTATGTACTGTATATACGCGTTAATTTTTCAAAAATATATGCACATTCCAGTTTCGCCGCCCGCTGAAGCCATACCATCTGGTTTCACTCAAGCTGAAGACGGGGGTTATTACAAAATAGGAACCTCTGCATCTGGACTAAGCCAACAAGATGCCATTAATGCTTGTCAGGCAATGGGTGGAACCACTTTGGCTTTTCCTTATCCCAGGAAACGGGCAGAAAAGATCTCCAAGATGATGCAAAATGTCGGAGTCTCACGTGCTTGGACCATTGGGCGTGTGAATCCCACGGGAACTTTAATGGTCGAATGTAAGAAGCGGGAAAACTAAAACGAAAATTTATTGAAAAAAAAGCAAGCTGTACCAAGTTATGTGTTTCTATATATATATATAATTCCTAAAATGTATCTTTCCATGAAATTATGCTCAATAAAAATGTCGGCAGTAGAATTCAACCCATGATGATCAACTTCAGTCGACTAATCTGTTTTTTTTTTTTTTTTATTCTCAAATAGATTCGGGCCAGTTGAAACTCGTCCCAAACGCAAGTGACCCGCACCAGGTTTGGCCCGACTCATCATCGTCGTCTGCAATGCTGCTGAGTTCTGTCACACCATCATTTTGCATCACTCTCAACACAAACACCTCACCAGCATCAGCATCCCCATTTTGGAATTTCGTCAACTGCTCATCGACGATCATCACATCGTATATCTGCGAGGCCAGTCCACCTTACTTCCAGATCCCATCAACAAAGCGTTGGTTCCGCATCTCCAGGCATCCCAAGGTGTATCACAGTGGCACCAGCATGTCCGCCGATTGGTATTGTCGACGAGATGGCGGCACTTTGGCACCCACATTCGGACCGACAGGGTTGCCAACTTTGTCAAATGCCTTGTCTCTGGTCTTGGGAACGACTTTTGGTGAGGTGTTTGCTTGCGGAGATGACTTGGAAAGGGAGGGCATTTGGTCCATGTGTGGAAGTGAGTACGGTTTATATACAGAACTTTTATATAGGAGGGTTGTCCCAAGACCGCATGGGATTTTATATTTTTAACAGAATAAAAAATGGGGGACAATTGCATTAATTTACCCATATGATTTTTCAGTATTGTAGAACTTTTTTTCAGATTTTCAAGACCTTTTTATCAGTGCACTGCATGTTGAGAAGTGATGACGTTCCTATGATTACAAGTCATGATTTTCCACTCATTTCAGTGTTAGCTGACAATTTTTCAATGCAATTAAAATCTTGAAATTTCGTTATTGTTGTGTTACAAATCTTCTGAGCTAAGGTCAGAATATATGGTAGTAAAGTGGGGGTAAATCCTGTTGAATTTTGTTCTCTGCTGCAATTCACATCACCTTCCCAAACCCAGTCCTTTTCCAGTTGCCTATCAACCCTATTGCACAATCCTGAAATGCTTTTTTTTTAGTTGCACAACAGAATTTCAAAATTTTAACCCTCTTGACAATCTTTCAGCCCACTGTGAAAGGAGTAGTAACTTTTGCCATAATGGAAAGCTTTCTCTTCTCATCATTTGCAGTTTACTGTAAAAAAAAAGCCTTACAAATCTGAAAAAAGATGCAAGAAACCTAAAGCATCATAAGGAAATTGAGCAATTTTTCAAATTTCTCTAAAGTGTGAAGCATCAAACTCTGCACAGCCTTGGGACAGCCATTGTATTTGTGAACAACTCAGTGAAATGTACTGTACAATACTTCATTACCAAATACAGTACATGAATTATGCCATTAATTTATTCATGGTCACCCGTATATTTTGTACAGTATATGCATACTGTATGTGTATTGTTGGTTATGATCCCAACAAAAGAGCAGAATTAAAGGACAATGGAAATATTGTGAATAACATGCTGGTCAAACAGCTAGTTTGCAGCTGAGAACATATATTCAAGAAGACACATTAATAAATGTGCCTAGTATTGTCACATGATTCAATAATACTGTATCTATATGTATTACTGTATAAAAATATTATTCAAAAATAATCACAATTCACAATAATGAAGCAATAAATTCAACCCTAAAAATTAACATGTGGATAACACTGCAAAATGGGAAGAAGGACTCTGATGTTCACAAATCCAAACACAGCAACTAATAAATGGGAATAAAACGTAGACAGTAAAAACTGAATTAAGTTTTTGTGTGCTCTCATAAATGTGTAATAAATACTGAGAAGTGAAAATGAGCAAAGAATAGGGAAAATCTTCTCCATGTTTTTCCCCAGCATCGTTGCTGCTCCACACTAATTAATATGTGTAACGCCTGATTTTATTTTCCCCACATTTTCAGCAACAATTGATCCCAGTCTCAAAGCCACTCAAACGGATCAGCAATTCTGGGGACCCAACAATCCAGGTGGGGGGATCGTGGAAAACTTCTTGTCCCTGACTTATTCAGCGCCCAGATCCACGTACGTGTGGAACGATCTTTACGCATCTCAACGTCCATACATGTGTGAACTTTGAACACAACCTGACGGAATGACTACTTGGACACGGAATACATTGTCACATTGATGCTAGATATTTATGCACCGATTATTATGGATATCGAGTTCGGAATGTTTTGTCCGTCTGGCTCGTCTTCAGCGCCGGATCGATTGTCAGCTGCTACAGGAGTTTCGGAGTTTTCCGTTCTATATACAGATGTCGCTAGAAGAACAAGAGAACATTGGATGTTGCTTGTCGTTTGGGCAAAATAGAAATACAGTACTGTATGTATAGCATTGCGCAATGCAAGATATCATGAACTAAAATGCCACCATGAGCATCAGGGTCTAACGACAGACGGACACAAAAACTTATTTCAGTTTTTACTGTCTAATTCGACACGGGTGCTTCACACGATGAGCTGAAAATTGACTGAATGCAGCAATTGCACTACTTGCAAAGTATTGCTGCAACGCATAATTCATTCGATGCATAACAGAAGAAGGTATATTTTCAACCTTCGTCTGTTGATTTATAAAAGAACATGAATTATTCGTCTCTTGAATCTGAAAATGTGGCCTTGTGGCTAGTCCATTTTCTTGTAAAAATACATGTACGAGAGGTTACATGTTTCCGCGCAGACCCGTTTCGACACAGACTTCAAATGCTATGAACACCAGGGATTTTTAAAAACACATATTTCTCATGTTCACTATAGTTCCATGAGGCTAGGCAGACACCTTCTCACTTCAATCACCACTAATTCTCACATACTTCTCAACCCTTTTGATCCATTTGTTGAAACAGGCCTATTGAAATTTTCAGAGGTTAAATTTGCAAGCTTCCCCATCAGAACAGCAGCATCAAGTTGATCCGCGTGGAACCGTGTAACCCCTCTTAGATGGAGAAAAACAAATAAGCTGGGCTTAAAGCATATAAATAGCAAGGCTTTTGATGTAATTGTGTGCTGGACATGCGATGTGTGACAGAAAATTTCACGCAGCATTGCGATACCAATATAACATCAAAACACTTACAATTTCGTAGTTCGAAGCATGTTTAAATATTTTCTCTTCGTCTTTCCGCGCAGTTGATTGGCGATAGATTTAAACACTATAAATTAATTTTCTGTATCTGACGAGGCAAGAAATTGAAATTTGAAAACATTAACAATATTAGCTCACATGCATAACATATTTTGACATGTCCTAGACCGTGCTCATGGTGACATTTTAGTACATATTATCTTGCGTTGCGCAATGCTATAAATATTTATATTTTGCCTGAACAACAAGCAGCAACCAATTTTCTCGTGTTTTTCTAGCGACATCTGTATATAGAACGGAAAATTCCGAAACTCCTGTTGCAACTGACAATTTATCCGACGTTGAAGACGAGCCAGACGGACATGCAATTTTGTTATCAATTGAACCGAAATAGCAGAAGAACTTGAAATTATCTCGCAATTACCGTAAATATTAATGGGCCGGGTATGTACAGTACATATTTAAGTGATTATAGATGTACCAAAATCTTTGAATCGGATATCTTTGGCGTGTCATATCGTTGATGTTCGATTCTTCACGTGATTTGATTTATTCTATGCACATGAATGTTTGAATAAGTTATCGATTTTTGTTCCTCGCGTTTTTCTTATCCACCTCAAAATTACAAAAGCGAAGGTGTACATTTGCATTTTGAAAAATATATTGAGTATTAGTAAAAAATCAATGAAATTATTAATTATAGTTATGTTTTCCCGGCGTTTTCATAAGAGCTCATCAAGGGGGCACGTTCCTCTAATGAACGCGTTGAAATTCCCGTGCAACTGCTGCATATGCTGTTCAGAGAATAGTGTCTGTCAGAAAACAGCAAGAACCTCTTGCCCAGCATCTTCAGCAACTTATTTGTCATCCTTAAAAACTGTTGAACTACTATAAATGCTAGTACAATTACTGTAATTTATATTCAGTCATTATCAGTGAATATGAGGTGACCAGGAAACAAAACAAACGACATGTACAGCAACTGTAGAAAATGTTGAAACGAATTTAATGGAAGACATGTTGCAGGCATTCATTTGTTTGTTTTTCTGAATGGTTTCTCGCTATTGAAAAAATGTAGAAAATTTTAAAGTTCGCTTAATACAGAGAAAAAACTTCAATATCGCCGTATTGAACACTGTTATTTATTTTGAGGGATGATTGTTGCATCTGGATTCGCGTATTCTTGCTAAAAGGATGATTTCAAAAAGAAGTTATCAATTATAGCATGTATAGAAAATACATATAGAAAATGTATAGAGGCTACAAAAATATATTTGAGTGGATGTTTGAAGACAACGTTCAAGAAATCATGGAGTAGTCCGAGCTAAATTCGAGTAAGAGTTTCATAGCAGTTTAAATGATCTTTCTTAAGAGAATGCTGGAGGTTAGTTTTCTCGAAATTGTCGTAAAGGAGCACACATGCAATGCGATTTTTTTGGTATGGTTCCACATTTTATTCCTCCAAATCCTGATGAAGAGATGGAAATCATTTGCAGATTGATATTTATGCCTGTTTTTGGAGGGAATTGGCTGTTCCGTTCCTCAATTTCCAAGCAGCAGATACAATTAAGATCAAATGAACACCGACAAAACATATAGGAGGGCTGGTTTGTAAAAGATGATAAACTGCCCCTTGCCATCATTGGAGGTGGATGCAATTTTTTCTTTTGCTCTTCAACCCTTCATTGGTGTCTAATAAATTGTTCAATGATTTCTCAGCTACAGAAGGAAACAAGAAAAAAAACTGGATTACAGTGAATCCCCTCCACTGAAGTGCACTGAAGTCAAGTTTAATTGATCAAGAGCAGCTGAATGCGCACTTGCATGCTCTGTGACTTTGAGTGTTACCTGGTAAACTTCACTTCAGTGGAGGCGGGCATTCACAATGTGATCCAGGTCTTGTTCTTGTTTCCTTCTGTAGCTGAATAGTCAATGAGACATTTAATAGACACTAATGAAGAGTTGAAGAGCAAAAGAAAAAAAATTGCATTGGCCTCCAATGCCAGCAAGTGGCAGTTTATCATCTTTTACAAACCAACTTATTTTATTATTTTACATCATGCGTTGTATAGGTGCAATACAGAAATGTAATGTGGGTAATGTGGTACTGATTCCTCATGGGAGTCATGGCCTATGTTCGTCTTAAGCTCCCACCTAACTTGCTGCATGCAAAGATTTAGTTTATGGGAATTGCCCAGCTGTTGGCGGGTTTTGTATCACCGCACCGGTGTGGCATCCTTCGGAAATTCCCAGTGATCTCTGGAAGCAGTGCGGTGTAATCTGTGTCCCTTTTGGTTGGTTGAGCTGAAATTGCATTAAAATTTCCTTTGTGGATTAAATTTGGATTACCGTGCGCCACCGGTATGCATTTTTGAGGCCAATTGCCTTCATAGGCAGCGGTCGCATAGAGGTAGGAGATGAACTTTTTCGCGTTTGTTGGTGAATTCGTTCGACAGATTCCATTTAGACGCAAATGAGTACCAATGTAACTCGTCTTCGTGCCTTGCAGATTTGGAAAAACGCTCGCGCTTTTGGAGCGTCATTAACTTGCGTATACGTTGTGAGCTTTGCTACCAGATACAACGCTTCAACAGTCCGGACGATGTCTCATAATTACATCGTCACGGCACAAAAGCCGACTGCGGTTACTGGCTGTGCAACTGGGCGTTTCCTCTCACCAAATGAACTCAATTTGGTTGTCGCGAAGAATAGAATCTTAGAGATTTACACGGTATCACCTGAAGGACTTTCGCCGGTCAAGGAAGTGAACATTTACGGCCGAATCGAAGTCTTGAAGTTCTTCAGGCCGGCTGGGGAGAAGAAAGATTTTTTGTTCCTGGTAACCACGAAGTACAACGCAATGATCCTCGAATGCACTCGTGATGAGAAAGGAGAGCTATTCATTCGCACACGAGCGCACGGAAGTGTTTCTGACAGAATCGGCAAGCCTGCGGAAACGGGTGTCATTGCGATTGTGGATCCGAATTCTCAGGTTTGTGGAAGCACTGAGAAAAGGCGGAAATTTTTACTTCATTATTTCCTTTCGTTTATAGGTTATTGCATTACGATTGTACAGTGGTTTGATCAAGATTATTCCCTTGGAGAAAGATAACACCGAGTTGAAGGCATACAATATTCGATCAGACGAATTAGAAATACAGGATTTAGCTTTCTTGCATGGATGTTCAGTCCCAACACTCATTATGATCCATCAAGACAGCAACGGACGTCATGTCATTACCCATCAAATATCTTTGAAGGACAAGGAATTTAAGAAAGGTCCGTGGAAACAGGATAATGTTGAGAGAGAGGCAGTCATTGTCATTCCTGTTCCTCTTCCGGTTGGAGGTGCGATCATAATCGGCCAGGAAACTATAACGCATCATTCAGGCTCTCATTTTGTTCCGATCGCTCCCCCAATAATGCAAAAAAGCACCATTACTTGCTATACCCCTTTGGATGATACTGGTGCGCGATATTTGCTTGGAGATTCTGCTGGCCGCCTTTTCGTCCTCGTACCCGAAGTCACTGGCGTTGGGAAGGATTCCGATTGTGGTGCGTCGAGTTCAAGTACCGTCGCGCAAGTCACAGTTCAGAATCTGAGATTGGAATACCTTGGAGAAATCAGCATCCCTGAGTGTCTGACGTATCTTGATAACGGAGTAGTTTTTGTCGGCTCCCGTCTTGGCGATTCCCAGTTGATCCATTTGAACGAGAAGCGAGACGAAAGCGGATCATTCGTAACTGTCTTGGAATCTTTCACAAATTTGGGGCCGATTGTTGACATGGTAGTCGTTGATTTGGAACGGCAAGGACAAGGACAACTCGTCACGTGTTCGGGAGCATTCAAGGAAGGCAGTTTACGAATCATCCGAAATGGTGTTGGTATTCAAGAATTGGCAACCATTGAAGATCTTCCCGGCATTAAAGGCATGTGGACTCTTCGGATTGGAAAAGCACAAGAATTCGACAATACATTGGTTCTCGCTTTCGTTGGACAAACCCGAGTGCTTTCGCTATCAGGAGAAGAGTTGGAAGAAACGGAAATTCCTGGCTTCGTGGGAGACGAATTATCTCTGCATTGTGCGAACGTTGCTTTCGGACAGATGATTCAAGTGAGTTGGAATTTTTTTGATTCCGTGGCTCATGTTTTAAAAATGCATGCTTAAGCTACTCTCTCAACTTCCGACGAAAAATTTTGATGCATTACTGCTGCAGGGTGACGTAGGTAACAGATTCTGAAGACGATCTAAGGTTGTGTTAATGTGCGCAGGAGTATCAAAAGATCTGCGATGGCAGCTTTAGGAGAAGATAACGGAAATTTTTACATAAAAATGTATTACGGAATTGCAATTCCAATATATTTCCAATTCTTGTCCTACTCTCACAGGTTACTGCGTCTGGTGTACGTTTGGTCAGCTCGGAAACGAAGGAGCTGTTGGCTGAAACCTGCCCTGCAAAATCTGAAATGGGGATCAATCTTATCGTTGCTAACGAAAAGCAAATTCTCTGTGCTTCAGGGAAAGATTTGTTCTATCTTGAGATTTCGAACGGTAGCTTAGAATTAAAATCTCAGATGACCATGCCTTCGGAAGTTGCATGTGTGGACCTCGCAACGCCTGACGAAGATTCAGGTCTCTCAAAGATCGCCGCTGTTGGATTGTGGAATATTTCTGCTCACGTCGTCGTCCTCCCGGAACTGACTACAATCCACAATGAATTACTGAGAGGAGAAACCATTCCTCGCAGCATTTTGACGGCATCTTTCGAAGGCACCCATTATCTTCTTGTGGCCCTGGGAGATGGATCTGTTTTCTATTATACCTTCGATCCGAAGACCGGTGTTATGGCCAACAAGAAGCGTGTTACGTTGGGTACGCAGCCCACAATTCTCAAGAAATTTCGTTCGGGTCCGAATGTGAGCGTGTTTGCGTGTTCTGACCGTCCTACCGTTATATACTCCTCAAACCATAAGCTTGTGTTCTCCAACGTCAATCTGAAAGAGGTGAGTGAGAACCTGGGTGAAAATATTCGCTACGCTTTTTTTTAAATACAGTATTCAGAAAAATGAAAGATAGTACAATATTTTTTCTTAATTCTTAAATTTCTTAGTAATTGACCTATTGTCATGAACATGGTAAAATGAATCATAGTATGAATTATTCAAGAAAATTTTCGAAAGACGCAGATTTTGGACTCTCTTTTTTCTGGACGTTTTCCTCCACTTGCGTATAATATAGCAATATGCCTTTTTTTTTCCCTTTATACTCCGTATCATGTCAGAAAGGCAGATTCTGCTGAATCATTTTATGTGTTTTAAAGATAAAGAGCACATAATTACATTTTTGGAGGCTTTTTCTAAATTTTTGCCATGGAACCTTGGAGCCGCTGCCTGAAAGGGTCTTGCATTGTTGCCTAATAAATTAATTTTTTATTATCTCTAATTTCATGGTGTTCGTGGATTTTACCGCTGGCTTTGGGCAGAAAACAAGCTATGAAAAAAATATTTGATGAGCATGATTGTTAGTCTGAAGCAGTTCATAAACTTTCGTGTTCAGGAAACTAGTGAAATCAAAATTAAAATCCAAAATTACAACGGAACAATTTTAAATCTATGTGGTCATCCCATTGCAGCTTTTATCGTGCGATTGAATTTGAATGTAACGCTTACTGAATGGAGTTTTATTCGCTTTTTATTATTTTTCCTCGAAATGATGATCTCTAATAGTGGCTAATTTTTTTTTTCTGGCACACCCGTGGTATAATCGCGAAGTTCTGAACTTGTCTTTTTTGCTCAGGTGACGCAGATGTGTCCTCTTAACTCGGAAGCCTATCCCAAGAGCCTCGCGCTTGCGAGCAGTAACAACTTGTTGATTGGCACTATTGATAAGATACAGAAACTGCACATCAGAACAGTGCCCTTGGGAGAGTCTCCGCGACGAATCGCTTACCAGGAAGAAACTGAAACATTTGGTGTTATTGTCAGTCGGTTAGATTTCATGGACAACGAAAATAAGCTCGGTCCCAGTCGACCGTGTGCATCATCACTTGCATCGAGCACTTCAAGTTCATTAGTTTTACCGTGTACTAATGCAAATTCTCGGTGAGTAATTTTCGTTTTGTTCTGATCGAATTCTCGTTTTTTCTAGTTCATTCAAATCATCAGGCGCTTGTGTCGAATCGCTTGAAGTCATTTTTAGTGTATTTTAGCCGCTTTCTCGGGTGTTTCTTTCTTAGGGCGTCACCTGTTGGGGACTCCGTGCAAATCAATGCGGATATGGGACAGGAAATCGAAGTATTCAATCTGCTCATTATTGATGTGAATACGTTTGAAGTACTACATGCGCATAGATTCCGTCCTGGCGAATATGCCATGAGCATCATGTCCGCGAAGCTTGGAGAAGACCCGCTGACATACTTCGTGGTAGGCACTGCCCAGATGAACCAAGAAGAATCCGAACCAAAGCAGGGACGTCTAATTTTGTTTCACTGGCACGATGGCAAGCTTATCATCGTTGCGGAGAAAGAAGTCAAAGGCTCGGTTTACGCTCTGGTGAACTTCAATGGGAAAATTTTAGCGGCTATCAACGCTACCGTGCGGCTTTATGAATGGATGCCCGAAAAGGATTTCCATCACGAGTGTTCACACTTCAGCAATATTGTCGCGCTTTTTTTGAAGACGAAAGGCGACTTTATCCTCGTTGGCGACTTGATGAGATCCGTGACTCTGATCTCCTACAGACATCTCGAGTCGGTGTTCGAAGAAATCGCTCGTGAATATAATCCGTGTTGGATGACAGCCATCGAAATCATTGACGACGACACATTTTTGGGCGCAGAACACAGTGCAAACATCTTTGTTTGTCAAAAAGATGGCGCAGCCAGTTCTGACGAGGAGCGTCAATACATGCAGGTGTGTCTTCTTTCTCAGTTTTGCGATGTTTACTCTAGCAAATTTTACCTGATTGCCAATATGCACTGTCTTTATTTGTAGAAGTTCGTTCTTGCGATTCTGACTTCTAAATGTGTAATACCTTTTCTAATCCATGGCATCCGATATTCATGTGCAGAACACCAGTGCGATGGGTGGCTGAGAAATGTGCGCCGGTTGAGATGACAATGGTACTTCGTGTGGCTCACTGCATGAAAGATTGTCATCCTTAAAAAAATGTTTAGTGCCTTGGGCTGGTTGTTCTTTATATTGGAAAATAGCTTTTCAACGTTAAAAATAGCTGCAGAATGATGGAATGTTAAAAATATAAAAAGATCTTATTGGAAAAAGAACAGCTATAGCACGCCGGAAAGAAGAACTACCGCTTTGTTCATGAATTCCAAGAACTAAAAAGTTTATTTTCAAAAATGCAAAAAAGCAAAGTAGTATTATAAATTTTTGTTTAGTGTGTCTGTTTTCGTTGCTTACACGATTAATTTGATGGAAAATAAAATCGAGAGGTGCTTTCATTCAACTTGCGTCGTTGCATTGGTTTGAGGATATGTAAATTGAAAACCTGTGCACTTTTTAGCACAACTTTGAGGTGCAATTTTTAAAGTAATTTTCAGACTTACGACAGTGCGCTTTGTACAGGCGAGCATGTCTATTTTAAGTTCAAGGTGCTGAGAATATGGTTCTTAGAATCGTTGGCGTTTTATCTTCAAGAAAAAATTGACTATTATTGTTTCTTTGTGCATGCAGCTATGATTCAAACTATTTGATTGGCGTTCTCGTAGGTAACGGGAAGTTTCCACGTTGGCGATATGATCAATGTCTTCAGACATGGGTCTCTGATGATGACACAAGCTGCAGCGGATCAGAATTTGCTAACGCAAGGCAGCATTTTGTACGGAACGGTGCACGGCTCGATCGGAATCGTAACCCAGGTGACTTCGGAGTTGTTCAACTTCTTAAAGGACGTTCAGTCCAAGCTTGCGAAGCAAATCAAAGCAGTAGGCAAAATCGACCACGTCGACTGGCGTAGTTTTCATTCGGACAGACGAACGGATGTATCCCAAGGGTTCATTGATGGCGACTTGATAGAAAACTTTTTGGACCTCGATCGCGCGTCCATGGAGCGAGTCGTGGAGGGTATCCAGGTTGACCCGTCTGGGCGGTACGGGCCTGTTACGGGAGGCATGAAACGGGAAGCTACGGTTGATGATTTGATCAAGATCGTGGAAGACCTTACGAGAATCCATTAGATTCTTCCTGGAATCCGCGATGCTTTTTTGTTACGTGCTTGGAATCGTATCCGCTTTTTTTTATTGCGCCGGTTCGATTCTTTTTGTTTCCGCAAGAAACTGTGGATGGTGGGTGAATGAAAATTTTTAAGGCGATAGACATCATAGAGTCGATTTCTGATCATTGGCTTCTTTGTTTCGAAGACTGAATGCAACCGTTGAGACCAGTTTTTGCTCAGTTTTTAAAAATGTGGTAAGACTTGAAAAGTAGCTACATTTTTATTTCGAGATTATTTTCGTTTCGAGTGACTCACGCTCAACTAGTCCCAAAAAAAGTGAAAATTTCAGATCGTTATTAACAAATTCATCACAAACTTTAGTGCAAGAAAGGCGGGATAGTATGAAATAGGAGAAAACATCCTGCAATCATCCGTGCTTACAGTAGAATGTCGTCCCAACAAAACCCGTTGGAACAAATTAATGTTTACAACGATTTTTTTGTTTCTGTCCAGTAGCCACAATGCTATTTTAATTTCGTTTCAACGACTTTCCTTTCGCTACGAAGCTTTTTTAAGGTCCCAAACGCTTCGTTGTAAGGAGATTATACGGTAATCGAGGTCTTGGAAACGAAAGGTGAAATTTTAAACCTTTTCGAGTGTCGGGGGCAAATCCTATTGTAATTTAGCGCAAAATTGTCTGTTAACTCGTCAAAATAATTAAGTTTCTGTGAATATAAAAATGTGAGTCAGTCCGCACTGGTTCGCGAATTTCAGGTTCGTTTGGGCCTGTGAGAGTGTTTCCTTTCGGAATGGTAATCTAATTAATTTCTACGTTTCTAAAGTTGCCTGCATTTGGTGAAAGGCAATGTTTCCAAATCTGTTGAAGGGTTGGAACAGGATTTATCATAAGGCTATTCAGATGCGCGAAGATGCCGTTTCGATAGATTGCTTGAACTTATTGAAGGTTACACTTGTTTAGTCTCGCTTCGAGCTTAATCGTGGTTAAAATTTCTGTTTGACATGCAACACTGAGTACAAAATGGCCAATTTTGAAGAGGGAGACTTTAGTTTCCCTCGGTTCTTTTCGCAAGATCGCAGCGAAATGAAAAATCAGCCCAGGCGGGCTAAACGAATGTTGAAAGGTGCCGGGGGATCAGATGCCGCGGACGCTGACATGTCTGCAGATTATCCAGATCCAAACCGTGCCCCTAAAGGCAGCGGCGGAAAAGGGGGCGGCAAAGGCGGTGGCGCCCAGAAAGCCGAAAATCAAGCCGGCAAGGGTAAAGAAGGCGGCAAAGGGAAGGGGAAAGGCAAAGGCAAGCGTCGACGTGGTAAGGGCAAGAAGGGCAAAGGCGGTGAAGGCGACTACGACTACATGGGTGAAGACGACAACACGAGTCTTCCGATGAAAATCATTGACCGAATGCAGGACATGAACGTGATCGGAGGTCAGTTCATTGGGTCGATCGGCCGATCGATTGAAGAAACCTCGCCGAACGCCGTCGTGGATAATGTTTCCTTGATGGACTTGCCTGATGGTGTTGTTTTAACGGTTTTCCTCGTGATATTTTTGACCCTATTCGGATTTCTCAACATGTACGTGCAAAAAATTGCGATGTATTTCTTGCGCAAGTGGATTTTGCGAATGGATCCGTATGAAGCGTTCGAATCCAAACCACCGGATTGCTCAGATGCCAGTGTGCCTATTTTTCACAAGGTTCGTTTTCTGCTTGATTTGCTACTCTTCTGATATACTTATAGCTGTACCTTGCTTGTATTTTCGAGGTCCTCTTCTTTCCTGACCAAGACGACCGATTCGCCGCCACAGTTGGCGAATCTCCGAAAAATGTGGACGTCAAGAAAAGTCAAGTTTACAGGTGAGTGTTCCATTATTCGAGACAAATTTAAATTTTCAAATGCAATCGAGGGCATTTAAACTTTGTCCAAGAAGAACATTTCGTCGACAGTTTTCTTTGGGGAAGTCGTGCCTCGGGGATATTTACGAAGAGAAAATCGAATGTATTTTTTGAAGATAAAATATACTAATCCTGCTTCAGACGCCATAACGCTTTTATTTGAGATAGGTTATATTTCTCGTGCGTGGCTCCTCGATAGAATCCAGTGTGAGTTCGTTTGTATTCTTGTGCGTGGCTCCTCAATTGAATTCAGTGTTGGAGGCCGCGAAATAATATGCCATTTTATTTCGAATTTATCGCTTCAGCATCCGATAGGAAGTTAATTAACGTTAATAAAGAATTCTTACCTTTTCCGTGGGTAGATTCACTTCGCTCTGTAGATTACCCACGCGCCGTTTTAGGTGAATTTTTTCTTCTTCATACGGAACTGTTCTTGAAATCAGGATGAACGATTGTCACAAAGAATTGATGCTAGATGTAAATTCGCAGGATCCTGCAGAAGTCCTTGCTGAAAGCCAAGTCAAATATTTCTGGCTGTCTTTTCGTGTTCACTTGCCGTGAGTTGGCAGAGTTGCTGGTGTGGGCTCGTCAGGAGCTGAAGCTCGGGGTGTCGATCGTGACTGACGAAGAGATGGCGAGACTGCCGACTTCTCTCATTGGAATGCTTGCTGACGCTGGCGTGTCCATCAAAGTAATGCGGTCGAACGTGTTGTTGCATCATCACTTCATTGTCATCGACGGACGTTTGTTGTTCAACGGGTCTTTCAATTGGACGAAACAAGCTGTAGGCTTCAACTTCGAAACAATGATGATCACTAACGATCCGAAGATAGTTCTTCCGTACAGTTATCAGTGAGCTCCTTTTTATTCTCGTGGCTGGATGAAAACCGTATTATCCTTTTTTTGTTCCTCACAGCTTCACGAAATTGAACTCCAAATCGATAAGCTGGAATTACCAGCCGGAAGAGGAGTTTGTACCGTTTGTGGGCGAACGTCCGATTTGCGCTGACTATTTGCCGAACCTTACGTCCGTTAGCTGAATTTTTTGTTCCTTATGTTTTGTTCATCCTCTAGTCCGGATTAAATTATTTACACGCTTTCTATTTTGCTTGCGTCAGTATTTTTTTCGGGTTTTTGTTGATGCTTTTTTTGTGTTATTTAGGTCCTTATTTCGTCTTCGAATGTTGACGCGCCTTTGGTTTTTATGAGAGCCGAGTTGAAATTTTCTTGACTAATAGTAAAATGGTAGATTGAAATTTTCATCCGTTGCGGGGAATAATGACTGAGTGGGACTCGAGTTTGAGAATTGGGGAAGACATCAGTTTGCTACCGAGCAGGCATGAAGGCAGTAGCAATTATTTGGTTCCTCTTCCACCTACGCCGCGTCCAAATCATGCAGTGCTCGAGAATGTGTCTGCTCAGAGCAAGACCTACCGAAGCGAAGTGCTGGAATTCATGGTGAACCAATCGTGAGTGGTTGATGCTTTAAATATTTGAATGGAGTTATTATCTGAAGTGCGATTTCAGGTGTGCGAATTTCCCTGACATGCCTGACTTCTGCGAGGAAATCAGTGGCAGTGATCTGCTCCAATCTGTAAATTCTGCTGAGTTCGGTTTTGGAAGTAAGGATTTTGTTGCTTGCTGCCCGTTTCGGTTTTTTTTAATGTACGTGTTTTCAGGTTCCAGCAAAGCTTTCATGGACCCAATCGATGATGCGAAGTCCGTTTCGAAAGTGGGGGTCGTTTGGAACAACTCAAGTTGCCTCGCTGGAAGGTTGTTTGTCTTGTTATAAGCTTGTTTCGGTGATTTTCTGTTCAACTTCCCCATAACTTGAGTTCGTTATATTACTTTCATTACACAAGTTCTTCTAAAATCGTATTACATTTGTTTTTAGTTGACTTAATTGAGGCTATATCAGGTGTACTTCTGAAAAAGGATTTTGAAAATCGAGGGATTATTCTTTAATTGATGAGATTTGTTTGAGAATGAATGAAATCAGTCAAACCTCCCAAAATTTGGGGTTCTTACAGAAAATTACTGTGCATTATATTTTTCTTGTCATTAAATTCGACTTGAATTTCTCAGTGAGATGAACTCGGACATGGACGGTGTGTTTGTTCCTCGTTCTGGCCCACTTGGAACTCTTCAAGGGGATTTTCCCAAGGATGAGCCGGTTAGTTAAAACTGTCTGCATACGTCTCTCAAGAGATTCTTTCATTTCTTTATTTTTTATTTTTAGCTCCCATTTACGGATTACGTGAAGCGTAGAGCAGATTCTATACCACTCAGTGAGTGTAAGTTTCAACATTGTTGTGTGAAGCTCTTTGTGGCTATCATGAAGACGTTTGCTCATATAGGCTCGGGTATCCCGCTTGTACCATCCTCGGTTTCCGCTGCATGTCGGTCAACTTTCAGTGCTGAACAACGCCCAGAAGTGGACACGGGAAATGGTCAACTTCTCACGACGAATGCCAGGATGTAAATGCAGGATTTTGAATCATTTTTAAGAATTCTGTGATGTTCAGACTTATGTTTTTTAGATGTAAAACGAATGTGCCAAATTATGCTGTCAATGCAACCACGCCAGTCCGAAGTATGATGCAGACTTCTTCGGTTGTGAGCGAAAGCTGTACCACGATCGATTTGCCTGACCGATATTTCGATGATGTTGGCGGCGAGTCTTGCGAATCCCAGAGTTGGTTTCTTTTTTTGGACATAAAATAGTATTCTATGTTGTTTTACGCTCAAAACCTGATTAATTTAATTTTTGCTCCCTCCAGAGCCGGCGAATTCTACTCCGATGCATCATCCTGAATCTTCATTCAACGATCCGGATTTCAGTGCCATATCCATGTTTCATAATCGAGATGATACTCTGGAACTTTTGAAAGGCATGGATCTCTTTGCCAAGAAGTGTAATCCAGTGGTGGAACCAGTGCCAGCGAAAGCTAAGCCTGCTGATCCTCCTGCTGGTGTTCTTGATTCAATGAAGAATGCGTATCCTGTGCGAACATCTAATTCTTCTGACGTGAGCAATCGAACGAACGGAAGTTCCGGTTCCTGCGAAAGTGGAGTTGCCTACTATCATGTCGAAAGAAGAAATCCTAGAAGTAAGAGACTTCATAACTGCAAAAATCCATCAATCGAATCGCTGTGCTTGAAATTTTCTTCCGTATTTTCTCGATATAATGTACTACGATAATTTTGAGTGTCGAAAAACATAAATTGATGCATATCTTACGTAAAATTAATTTTGTGCATTGTCCTACAGTAAAATCTCGTTACCACAAACTTGTGGGGACTTAGTTATAGTTATAGGCTTAGTTATAGAAAAAGTTAGTTATACCAAATAATTTGTTATAACGAGATTTTCAAAATTATTGACTGATCGGAAGATTTTCTTTAAATTAGACCTGTATGTATCCTCATCTTCCTTTGGTGGTTTTTCATATGTATTTCAGTATTCAATAAAACTGTGATTTTCATAAAGGAAATTTAAATGTTACTTACAATCATGTACTCCAAATGCAGGTAAAACCCTAGCACTTTTTATTGACTCAAGTTTTCCTAAGCAATTCCTGCGCAGATTTTTATGCTTGGATGTTCCCAAAAAAGCTCTCAATTTTTGCATCAGTAAGGTTTCTTAATTATATAAACTTCTTTTAACATTTCATGTAACCCAGGAACAAATTTTGAATTAAAGGATGTTCAGGTGAATTTCAAATAATTTTTGTCCTTTATTCCACCTTATGTTCCAAAAACCAGTCACTGTCACCCAAGAATCAGTCACTGTCACATTTTGAATGGGAAGTGTGAGACTGACTGCCTTCATTGGGAATTTTTCATGAGGAAATCAGTACGTTTTCCTCAAAAAAGTTTGGTATAAAGTACTGGAATTGGCGAGTTTGTAGGAACCAGATTTTGGTAGCATTTACCTTGTAGGAGTTCTGCCAGGACTCAGAAAAAAGTATGCTATACTGGGAAATTTGTTGTAACAATATTTTACTGTTTTCCAAAAAATCTAGAGGAACTATTTCTTCATTAAAAATTTACGCTATCGGTTTTGATGAAGAACTCTTCTTGTAAAATTTTATCATAGATTGGTTCTTGAGAAAAAAATCATTGTTTCTATCTTCGAGGCTTATATTTTTCTGAAATTCTCGATTCAGCTTCCTTTGCTGTTTTCGTACCGGAGAAATTCGACGTGGAAAAGAGGTGTTGCGTTGGAGTTTCCTGTCCCGTGGCGATTCCTGTGCAGAATATGTCCCCTGAATTCTTCATTTGCTCGCCACACGTCACAGAGCTTACCGTCAATGGACATGTGGTTGATGATCCGAGCAAGATTTTATCTTTCACGATGTGCACGTACGACATCGGGCCGAATGCCCAAACGTTAATTTTGGTTAGTTTGGGAATTGAAATGCGCTGTTATCTTTTTCAAATAATCATTTTTGTTTTTCAATCAGTGTCATATTGTTGGAGATGCATTAGGTTGCATACGTGCGAAACTCGAATTCGAGTTCGAGAAACCAAATCCCATCGAATTTCCTGGAAGTACCAAGGGTCCCACTCAGGTGTCAGCGATCAAGATGGTTCTGTTGAATGCTGCTGTTGAGCTTCCATCGGTTAGTGTGATGACAAACTCGGGTCAGGTCTCAAAAATTCATTCGTCAGTTTTTTTTTTCAAAGATTGTTCAGAAGGGTTCTTTTTTCTGTAGGTTGACGTTCGCTGTGACGACAAGGAATTCACATCTGCTGTGAACCAGCATATTAATTTGGGATTTTTTCCGCAACGCTGTCGTTTATCAAAAAGTTTTCGGGTTTTCAACTTGAGCTCTTCCGAGTACTCTGTGACAATACGTATCGCTGGGGTAAGTTGAGCTAATCTGTATTTTTTTATTCGCCTCTATAAATTATGAAAATTTGCAGGAAGACTATTGGACGAAAATGTTCCAGCTCGTGCCTGAGAACAGGTCTCTCATAGGAGCAAATAATTACAATTCCTCCCTGGTGACGAGATTGGAAACTGAAGGACGATTCGACTTCAACGTGATTTTCAAGTCACCGGCTCTGCCAGGTTTGTATTTTTGGAATGCTTTTGGCTAATCTAGTTTTACTTCAACGCTCCACGTTTTTTCTGCATTTTTTGATTATTTCTAGAGCCGATTACTGTATTTGAAAATTTGTTCTCTAAAAAAAACAGATTATATCTGATGAAAACGATAAAATTGAACAAGGCCCAAGCTAAACTCGAGCTTCAGGCGACACCTATTCTAGAGTTTAGAAAATCATGTAGAGGTACAGTACAGTGCATCGGTTTAATTATTTGAGTTTGGTTAAAAATTATAATCTAGAACTGATATCGTGGCTTTTTGTTGATGTTGATTGTAACCTCATTTGCAGCTCATCGTAATTCGCCGAGCAACGTTGCTGTCGATCTGATCGTAGAGATGAAAGAACCGAAGTTCGCATACAGGCTGTCGACAACAAAAATCATTTGCATGATCGGCAAGGCTAGACCAACTACGAATCTCGTTGACAACACATTGCAAGTGCCTATGCGTTCCTCTCGCTCCTTTTCAATCAGCAACGACGGGAACATCCCATTAAGTTTGAGTCTGGAAGTATTTCCTTCGGAGCCAGTGGACAGCAACGGTAGACCAGATTCACAGTGCAGCAAACGTTCAACGGGAAGCCAGAGTTCCGTTTCGAATAAGCCGAGCAATCCGTGTTTTTCTGTGGTGCCTAAGATCCTCCTCTTGGCACCTAAGGAAGGTCAAAGTGCGACTGTGACGTTTGACCCGCCGCCAAGTTACGAATGTTCGAGTCGTCTTGCTTTGCAAAGGTTCGAGACTTGGAAAAGCTATTGTTGTACAGTGTCAGATGATGCCATGTTCTAAGGACCTGAGATGTCCCAAAGAAAAATCTGTTGACCGAATAGTCATATGGAATGGCTAAAACGTTAGATGCATTTCCCAAAGAATTGTACCTTTCTAAATTATTGAAAAAATTGCTTTTTTGCATCAAATACCGTATGCGTAGAAAGTGCATATGAAAATGATGGGAACAGTGCTCGACCTAATCTGAATCGTCAGAGGTTACAACTACAGTAGTATCATTCCTAGAGGACCTTTTCTCTTCTTAGCTTCCTTCTTTACATTTTTTGAGAATTTACTGTCGTCCCGCAGCTTCATTGTTGACGAAAAACGGAAGAATAAACCTCCCATACATACTCGTATACTTATAACTGAATATTGACTGAAAAACATTTATTTCTGGTCGTGGGTAACTTTCTGAACAGCGAGTTTCAAATCCCCAACTAAAATCAATGTCGTCAAATAATTTTTCCTTCTGTTTTCTGAGCACCATTTTGCTTTAATTTTCATTGGAAACCGATTTTCGTTACCTTTCAAGGAATGTGTTGTTCTGTCCACTTTTTCTAGCATTCTTCAAATGTCTGTTATCCCCAATGGAGAATGTTTCAACGTCAATCTCGAAGGGTTCGTCGACCCCTCGTCAGATGTGCTGAACTTCCAAAGTGGCTTGAGTTCTCCCAATTCCACGTTGACTTCCGGATCAAACGTTGTTCGTGCTCAAGGCGGAAGAGACATTCCTGTGGAAAATACGAATGGAGTGCAGAAGACGGCGTCGGATTTTGGAAAAGAGAAGAACAACGGATTTATGAAGCTCGCAATCGTGAACAAGCAGCTGTATTGTGATCCTAGCAAATTGCCTACTTCTACTGATGATGTCAGGTTCGTAAGATTAATGATCAAACCTGTCCAGGATTTTTTCATGCTGTGTATTCTTTCTTACGCAGGCAGGAAGTGAAGATTTTTAGCGTCGACAGCGTTTTTTTCAACGGTGTTTCAACTTCATTTGGTGACCCATCCAATATTGCCACTGTGAAAATGTGTAATAAATCGAAGAAGGATAACATCGTGGTCGAGTGCAGTCTTCCCCCGGGAACGTGTGACTTTTTTGTGAGTGGATCTTTCTTATTTCTCACGTCGTTTGATAGAGCTAAAATTCTTTTTTTTTTCCAGTGTTGCTGAATTTATTCATTTACATTCTAGACTGGAAGTCGCAGTAGAATTCCGATTAGCCGTCTCTCACTTCTTATTTATCGACAGAAAAAAAAAAACCGGCTCAATCGCTCGATTGTAACGAACTTTTGCGAGAATACCTGATAACCGGTTTCAACTGATCATGATAACTGGTTTCACTTGTTGAATAAAAGGTTTACTGTGGGGAACTTCCCAAACCAGCGAGTACTGTAGTTCCTGTAAACTTGTAGAGAGTTTAGTCTAATTTTTATGGCGTATTTCGGAACACCGTTTCGCTTCATATTTCATCTCAGTAGTAAAGAAGATTTCAAGGAGAGGTTCAAATAATGTGCTGTACTCAATTATCCGTGAAGCTTTATTAACCGGATGGAGGCACCCGGTCATTATCCTGAAGTACTTCCGTTTCGGCGCATTGATTCGAAGTTACTTCGTCTTTCGCAGTTCGTTTCTGAATCCCGGAAGGAATGCACGAAGGCCAATCAGAGGGTCAGTATCGCCCCTGGTGGTGTTGCCCAACTTTGGATTTATTGTGCGATCAAAAATCCGTCAGATGTTCCGTGGTTTCAGGGAGAACTCAAATTACGACCGAGGTGTTTGGATCTGAAAGGCAAAGCTAGAAAATTTACGGTAATTGAATTCCGCATTCAATATTTCTATTCGCTTTATGACGTACAATATTTTTATTATTTTTTCATTAGATCAATTTGTTGGCGTGCCCATCTGTGAAGCCGTTGGAAGTTGTTGATATGAACAATGAGCGAGTTGATGCCGTTGCTTTACGAAGGAACATGGATGGTCTGTTGGGTGGAAGCTTTTTGTTGAGGAACCCGAACGAATCCGTGCATTGTTTCGTTTTCATCAAGACTGATTCTTGTGAGTCCAGTTTATTGTACTTTCGAGTTCGGCTAGTTTGAAATTTACATTGAATTTTCCATGTTTAGGGAGCAACGGGAAAGGAGGCATACGCATAAAGCCGGACTGTTACTTGTTGAGTCCCAAAGAGATCAAAGCGTTTTCCGTTGCTGCTGCGTGTGGTGGAAGTGCTGGGTTGTCGAATTTTGGAAAGTTCATGTTTTTCTGCGGACCTGAGTCTTTGCGACGAGCAGCTTTGTCGTGAGTTATTTATGAATCTTTTTGCTTGTAGGCCCGAAGTTGTTGAGTATGGCTTTCTTTGTTATGATTCTCTTGTCTCAAGAATGTTCTGACTTTTTGTTGAATCTGAAATCTTTTTAAACGGTAAGATAAAATGGGTCAGGGTTGATTTCGGCGACATCTGTCCAACATTTGTAAGCTCTAGCGTTGAAGGGGAAACAACCTAGTTTACAATGGTTAATTTTCGATGTGTTGCTTCTACAGTATTTAATTGTTTTGATACTCTTGGTCGTTTTTGATGAATTTCGGCGAAACATGTAAGTATCCGGCACTGTACTAATTTCTTTTCCAGATGTGCTTCGAAGCCGTGGACAAATGTTAGCATGTTGAAGACCTGTAAGCTGTTGTGGCATTAAAAATGTGCTGTTTCAAATGTTCCTTTTTCTTTCTTTTTTATTCGCGTGAGTGCTCATCATAAAATTTGGTTATCTTTTCAGCGCCGGATGCCGTGTTGAAAGAGGGGAGATCAACTTGACTCAACCGAAACTTTTTGATCATTGGTCCTCGATTGATGGATCGACTCACAGCATGAGGCATCTCCAGGATAAGGACGCCATTTCGCGAGCCTTGATGATGTGCACGCAAGAGACAGCAATTGACGTAGTTGTTCCTGACGAACTGAACGGATCCATTGACGGTGGGAGAACGTTAATCGCTACCGACGCATCAACCTTCTTCGAATCGGCAGAAACCGTGGCCGGCGGTGATATTGAATCCTTCATGAATATCACGTTAGTATTCTTTTTTTTTTTTAAATGCAATTCAAATTCGATAAGCCGACACCATTTTTTGTGATGTTTTTGATGGTTTAACGGGGTTGGCGGTCGGAAGAGTTCGGTGGTTAATCAAAAAACCAAAATATTCTGATATGAAAATTAAGTATATTAGGAAATGGAATTCGTATTCTTCTATAAGACAATCAAAATACCCCAGGGATGCGTAAATTATATCTAGTTAATGTTCCCAAGAAGTAAAGCATGTCATCTGTGTGTGTGTGTGTGTGTGTGTGTGCGCGCGCTTTTTTCTCAAGTGGAGATTTCTCACAGAAACTTGAATCGTTATGGCGGCGTTTCGAAGCCACAATTTTTTGAAAGAACCGTATTCAAGTTTTTAGTAATTTTTGCAGGTAACGGTTGGGGTTTTAACGGGGTTTCTAATGTTATTAGTTTTTTTTAATGAATTGGCGGTTTATGAGGGTGGTGCTTTATCGGGGAACGTCTTAACGTGGCTTGACTATATTTCATTTGATACTGTATTTCCAATGGAAAATAAGGATGAATGTTTTATATGTGCAGTGAAGTGCCAAAAGCTCGGCAGCCACGTGAGGTCAAAACATGGGATGTACATCCGACACTGCTGCGTTTCGATACTGGACAGACTATGGTCAAAATGTTGGAGATTTGGAATTGGACAACCGGGAACTTGACGGCTGACATCAAGTTTTCAAGTGAAGAAGGTCTTCTAGTTTACCCGAAAACGACGTTTATTCCAGCTTCTTCCTCCGCAAAAATCAGTGTTGATGTTCGGCGATTATCTGCGAAACGGCGCCAAAATTCTTGGCAAGTTGAGGTTGGTATTATTTCTGTTTTCTTCTTTTCCTTTCGAGTATCGATGATTCCTGGAATTGAGTACAATTCAGTATTTTAACCTGTAAAAACATAGAAAGCTCTCTAAAATTGTGCTGTAGACGTGCTTCGCTTTTATATCGACTGGCTTCAATTAATTTTACTTTGATCCTAAGATCACTGTTTTTCACTTGTATTTCTCCGAATAAAGATTCATTATTTTGTTTTAAAACGCGAATGTAACTATTTTCGACGCATGTGTGGTTTCAGAGAAGTTGATGTGCTATGAAATTCCGCAAATTGTGTACTGTACTGTATTGCGTGTGACCCTCGCAGAAGAGCATAGAAATTGATGATTGTGTTCAGGAGGATTTCGAGGTTTGCTCAAAGCAAAAATTGAAATAAAGATAAACCGGTGCTCATTGTTTCATAAAATTCCAGAGTCCCCACTGGAAACTCAATTCAATTATTCCTCTCACGTATCCAGTAGAAAAATTTGCCTTATGGAAGCTATGGATGACGAATTTTTCACCGCACAGTAAAATTTTGGACGCAAAATTTTAAAATTGAAATCATGATTCATCTGTTGCTTTCCTTTTATGCTCGCTATGCAAAATTCTTTGCGGACATTCGCTAATTTTCTCATTTCATACGCTTTTCAAAAAATTGAATGAATGACGTGCCTTTTACGACTCGACAGATTCAAGCGGGCGGAGAAAGAAGATTTGTTTCTGTTATGGTGTCGCCATTTCTCATTGCTTCCGGCTCCTCGACCCGAGATAGTAGTTTTTCGGTGAATAAGGTTGATGGTGGAGTTGGCGGAGCTCCAGAACTCGCAGGAGCTACCCTCGCACTTTCAGCGAATGCTTGCGTTTTTGGAGAATGCGAAATGGGTACTAGTTCGGAACGGGTGATCACCATGAGGAATGAGAGCCATGCAGTCAAGGTATTCTGGAAGCTTGAGAGACCGGAGGTGAGTCATTTTGTTTTATCATTGGAGAACGCTTGGCGATTTATTTTCATTTTGATGTGCAGGATTATGGGAAATCGATGGATCATTTGGTATTCTCATCCACGTCGAGGTCTGGTGTCCTCGGGCCTCTCCAAACTGCGTGCATCGCTTTCAGTTTTGAGCCATTGTCTGCAGTTTCTTATTCGTCCGCTTGGACGCTTTGCTCTCGCATTGGAAAGTAAGTACTGTACAGGGATTCATCTGGACTGTTGAATTAGTTCGAAATATGCGTTCGACGTGGTAAATTTCGTGGTAACGTTGTATATGTTGGAGAGTAATCCTTCGAGTATTGAAGGTGAGATAATTTGAAGGAAGGGAACAAATTCTGGCATAATCTGGACAACCGTAGGTTTCAAGCGCAAATGGAAGGAAAATTTTGACCTTTTCATGTCCACGCTGGCGTCATTGAATTAAGACGACATCAGTGAAAGTCGGGACGGCGATCAGTATCTCACTGTTTTCAGATTATTGATACATGAGTCATCCTGGCATTCTTCGTGAAAAGACCAGAAATTATATTTTGCGAACGCTGGACTCGTGGTATTTCCCTTTATTTACATCGTCGACGTTGATTTCCTAATAATGTTTTAATTCCCCAAATATTCATTTTATTGTGGGATAAGCTGCGTCATTCATCATGTACAGTATTCATAAGATGAATCTTCTCAATTGCTGGTTGTATGATTTACCCCCAAGTTATTTGGACTAAATGACTTGGTCAAGAAAAGCAGATCTTAACTCTCATCAAAGATGTTGTCTTCAATACATCATTACCGGTGAACTCTCCACAACCAAATTCATGGTACCAGAAAAATTCGTTGAACAGAGAACATTTGTGTAACGAAGATCGTTGTAGAGAGTGTCCACCTGTTCTATCAAAAAAAATGTTGAATTTTATTCGCCCGAGTATTGTGTTACAGAACGGACCACCTGCATTAAAATGACACGTACGTAAAAAAGTAATGTTTACGCAATCTGCAAAAATTATAACTTTCTGGTGCTGCGAATGGATTTGAAACTTCGTCTAGACTTGCACAAGATACATCATGCGCTTCTTCTGATACAGTGAGGATGCCAAACGAGTTGAAATCAGACTTACAGGACGGGGGAAAGACGTTCGCCAGCCGGAGAAACAAACTGATCTGCTCGAAAGCAAGGAGACTATGTACACCATGGAATCGTTGGGCCTGGCTGAGCACAGTGTGTCGATGCAGGTGTCTGACGTCTCAGACTTGTCGATGTCGATGGGCTCTGTGAAGGCTGCCAGGCATGTTTTTATTTTCCGTCATTGTTCATTTTTGTCTTCTGTGGTGATCATGTGTAATTGGCTATCTTACAGTTATGAGAGCAGCACATTGCTGATGGTTGACATGAATGTAATTCGCTTCCCTGATGTGGAGTTTGGGATTTCTGAGCTGCCGCTTGTAACCAAGATTCGATTGACGAACAACTCAAGGACTTCGTATAAGGTTTGTGAACACCTTAATCTACTGCATGTCCTCGAACCTGACAAAAAATTGCTCCGTTAATTTTCGCCTCGAAATAAGGAAATAGTGCATACACGAGAGCATGAGAAGCACTTCCGGCACTCATTTTAATCCATGTTTCAAGATGAATAAAAAATGATTCTATGCATCAATCTCATTGAAAACTCCGTACAGAACCATGTGTAGTTTTGTTGCAATGATAAGTTTCATCTCTATAGAGTTTGGGTTTACATTTTAATTACGTGGAAGGCTGTAAACTTGGTTGTCGTCAGTGACGGATTACATTTTGTTCAAATTTTTATTATTAGGAAATTGAAGTAAGGGGTTTTTAGACGAATTTCAAACATCATTATTCAAAATATTGCATTGGTCAGAAATTATCACTTGACATTCAAATCTTAAGACTATCAAATATGTTGTACTTCATAATTTCGTACGCGTCCAGTTTTTTGAATGAACGAGAAAGAGGTTATTTTTCTTGGTGTAAAATGATGATTGGTGATTGAATTTCTCGTTCTTTAATTTATTAGATGGAATACAACAAGTTGCCGGAGCCATTCTCAACCTCTGAAGCCCCTGCTGTCATGAAACCGAGGTCATATTTTAGCGTCAACGTGCGTTTCAGTCCTTCGAAACGCGGTTTCTTTCAAGCTGAATGGATAGCAAAGCCGGTGGACCACCCGGAAATCGCTCCCATCAAAGTGAAATTACTTGGACAAGCTGTTAAATGAAATCGGCGATAGAGATTTTGTCGATTGTCATTCCGTTTTTTTCTTTTGCCTTTTCTCGACCTCTTCTTTCATTCAATGTGAACAGAATCGTGAAACTATGGGACTGACGAATACCTTGTGAGGTCAATTTGATGCGACTTCGGTTTTTAATTGTGTGATTCGCAACTTGCATTTGACGCAAAAACGCGGGCTTCGCGATATTATGATACGGCATTGCTCAATGTTTGCATTTTTACAACAACGATATTTTGAAAAACGTTTTTATTTTTCTTGAAATTCATTCATTTTTGATGATCATTTACGTTTTACTTTTTTTCTAGATGGAACGCCAGAATTTGATCAGGTCTGAAGATTTGAAATATTGGAATGAGCGTTATGAAAAAGCTACGAGGCCATCAGATTTTATTTTGAAGTACAGTGACCTCAAGCCCATTGTGGAGCATTTGATCGCCAAAACCGACCGGATCCTCATTTTAGGTTTGCATTGATGCTCAACCCTGTTCTTCTCTTGCGAGTCCCATAAATTCTTGACTTCCAGGATGCGGAAATAGTGAACTCAGCGAGTGCATGTTTCGGGATGGGTACAAACGTATCACTAACGTGGATTTTTCGCCAGTCGTTATTGAAGCAATGGCAAAGAAGAACGAAGTCACTGCTCAAATGGAATGGCTGGTCATGGATATGCTATCGATGACTTTTCCGGACGAATCCTTTGACTTTGTTTTGGAGAAGGCAACGATGGATTCTTTCCGGGGTGAAGATTCCTTTCGTTCTTATCCAGGAGAAACACTCATCTCAGTGATGCGAAAGGTATTATGAGGTTTTTGAGCAGTTCAAGGCGACACGTATGTATCGTTGGTTTTTCTTTCAGATCAGTAAAATATTATCACCGTTTGGCAAGTTTGTGATGGCTTCTAGCCAACCTCCAAGTAGCGCGAGGGGGCCTTTGGAGCGAGACGAATTTGGGTGGAGCATTGATTACTCCATTGTACACAATACGTACAATGTATACGATAATTTTGTGTACGTGATGCGCAAAGGAGAAACACTGAAAACTCGTACACCGCGTCCGATATGCATTGGTAAACTGTTCGACGAGGGGGATTCTGATGAGGAATCTGAAGAAGTTTACGAGCCGTGTGGCCCGATGCACTACTTCTGGTAAAAAAAAAAAAAAAAAAACGGAACGTTTGGACGTGACGCTGTGATGCCTGCATAATCCTTTGTCTCTCTGTGTACCGTATTTACTTCGAGCACCACGCGCCCTCGAGTACGCCGCGGACCCCCGTTTTTCTACCAGAAAATTTTCAAAGAACCTATCCCCGTGTAAGACGCGCACCCCGGTTTTTTGCTGTTGCAGAAAATCAGAATAGTCTTGGATCTTTTTTCACGTGAATCCAGTTTACCCCATTAATATTTTGTTTTCCTGTTTCTTACCATCTGCAAGAGCAGGTAAAATTATTTTTCAGTATATGACAACTTCCTCAATTAGACGAATTCCCCCTTCCTTTACTTCCTGTTGCATCTCCAACGGATGTACTCCTGAAATTGTTTTTATTTGAGCCATTTTTCCTCATGAACGAATAGACTTGGTGCCACACATTTCCGCTTCAATTTTTATTAATGCTTAGATGTGAGGGGCACTTGTTTCGGGAATTTTTCCCTAAAACTTATGCCCTATTACCACGCGCACCTTTTCTCCAGAAAGTGAAGTGGAAATGTAGGGTGCACGTGGTACTCGTGTGAATACGGTATTCTTCCTTGTGTTGCGAGCCTTTTTTTCCTGCCGATGATCGTTCATAGACGTTCTCAAATTTGTTCTCAAGTTTATTCTAGGACACAATGTCTCTCATAGCGAAAAAATGAAATGTATGATTTATCGTCCCATTTTGTGAAGTAGCTTCTATTTTTTTTAACCGATTCCCGACTTTACAGCCTGTGTCGTGTGTGAACTGTGCGATCACGAGTCGTACTTGGATTTTCGGATCTTATTTGTGAGATTCGAATATAAAAAGGAGGCTAGTACATGTACTGGGATTTCGTCACTTCGGTGATTGATGGGGAGGCACATTTCCAGTGAATTGACGTTTTCGGTGACCTGTCTTTGTATCAATCTCAACGGGTTTGCGAAGCATCGTGGCGAATGCCTTGTGAGACACATTCGATGCCATCTTGCTCTAGTAATCTGTGATCATGTGCTTCGTAACATGTGCAAAAATGGCGTGGCTGTGATCCATGTTGGCATTTTTTATAAGACCGCGATATTATGAAGAAACTCGTGACTTTTTAATTTCTTGAGATTTACCGATTTCAGTTCATCTCCTATGTGATTCGAATTCATGTTCATGTATTTGATTACAGATGAAAGACGTTAACTCGAATAAGTACAAAAAGTTGGAATATTGGAATGAGCGTTACAAAGGCGAGTTGTCGTATGACTGGTTGTTGAAATACGAGGGGCTCCGGCAGATTCTGGAACAGGTGATTGCCAAAACCGACCGAATCCTTATCTTAGGTCCGATCTATCTTGATATTGCGGTTTTTGATTCCGTGTTGTGACGAACATTGCATTGTATTTTTTTTCCCAGGATGTGGAAATAGCGAGCTTAGCGAGTGCATGTTCCTCGATGGATACGAGCAAATCACTAACGTGGATTATTCACCCGTCGTCATTGAAGCCATGGCGAAGAAGAACGAAATCACTGCACGAATGAAGTGGTTAGTGATGGACATCACGGCGATGACATTCCCTGATGAATCTTTCGATGTTGTCCTGGAGAAGGCAACGATTGATGGGTTGATGGTTGAAGAAAAGGATCCGTGGACATTGTCGACGGACATGGCTACGATTCTCCACTCTGTGATGCTAAAGGTGCAGTAGTTTGTTAGTTGATTCAGTGACCACTAGACTCAAAAAAAAAAATCGATTTCAGCGAGTTCTTGATAGAGTATTACCATATTTACTCGAGTACCACGCGCACCTGAGTTTTTCAGTCTAAAATTTTTTTAATGAAATTTTATCCACGAGTAAAACTCGCATCATATGTCTTACAGTACAGGAAATTTAAAATGGCAATATCTTAAAGGTGAGAACACCCGAATGTGAATTTATGCATTAATTTAATCTGAATTCAACCAAGTTTTTATTATTTCCATTGAAATGAGTGTTTTCTGTTGATTGAAGTCAGTTCAAATTTTTGATTCCTGTAAAATCGAATACAGTACTGTATAACGAACGCCCAAACTTCAAAAACTTGAAAAAAATTATTCATCCTATGGCGCGTTCCCCCTTTTTTCCTTTGAATTTTGACCAAACAAGGTGCGCTTGGTAATCAAGTGAATGGAGGTAAATTATTAAATTTTTGCCGAGGCCAATTTCATGAACCAAATTGAAAGAAGGGAATAAATTATGACATCACACAAATTTTTGCGTTTCGGAAAAAGACAGGTTGTGATCATTTGAAGCTCCGTAAACGAATGGATGCATTTCTGGTGTTATCACCAACATGAAATTTGCCGAGGGAAGCTGAGAACATGTAGAAGAAACATAGAGTGGGATCTTGACATCACTCGGCGACATACACATTTTGTAACGACGATGAAAAATTTTGCGATCCTGAAAGATATGAGTTTTGTGCCTGGTTCTTCTAGCAGAAGGAAGGGGTTAAGTTCTACTGCGTCATCTGCCGTGAAAATTTCAAGTATTTTACTTCTTTCTTACATTTGCCAAAATTTTGGTTGCCTGGATGGATGATCCTAGCATTTCCTTTCTTTTTTTGTTTTGTTCCACCGTGCCTCGGCAAACATTTCAAAATTTTTTGTGCATTTATTTAGAAACAACCGCGTGTTTGTGGGCTAAGCGAGGGAATTAATTACCCAGTATTTCCATTAGTTTTGAACAATGAAGCTCATACATTGTATCTCAATTGATTATTTTCAGGTCAGCAAAATATTATCCCCTGCCGGAAAATTCATATCTGTTTCTTTTGGGCAACCGCATTTCCGAAGCAAGGTATATGCGAGAAGCGAATACGGGTGGAGTTTCGATCATTCCGTTATAGGGGATGCCTTCCATTACTTTACGTATGTGATGCGCAAAGGAGAAACACTTGATTTTCGGAAACCGGTTCCAGTGTCTTCTACTGCGGATGTTAATTTGAATGTTCAAGTGAGTTCCCTTGAAAACTCCGATGATGAAAACTTCTTGACCAAAATGAGTCTCTTGTGAGGAAAGAATTGCAGGATTCTCCAGGAATTATTATTTTTGGATTCTAGCGAATTATGAAGACAATTTGTTGTGTGTTTCTCTGAAGATTAACAAAATAGTGAGAAGCGACGTATTTGTTCATAAGCTGTTCTTTTATCGTGTGAAGCAGGGCTTCTTCGCATTCAGCACAAAAGCTAATGCCAGTGCAGGGTACCGGATAAGAACTAACAGTCCGTTCTGAAAATCCCCTTTTGTGCATGGTTATGCTATCTAATAAATTCGATATAAATGTTCAGTTCATTACGTTCAAAATTTTTGAGACTATTTTGTGGTTCGCATAGCCCCATCATGTGGCAACACTTCAGTGCAGTTCAGCATACCCTCCACCGATTTCAATGCATTTTTTCATGCAATAAATCCAACAGTCAAACAGTGCCAAAAATCGAGTCGTTTTAGGTGATTCGGCACTCTACGACTTCTGGCTGTTCCTGGCGGTGAAAAACTACCTCAGAGTGATTGATTTTGAGGACAGCTTAATCAACCAACGGAAGTCGATTTTTGGCACTGTCTTGATCTCGTTGGGTTTAATGCTAGAAAAGATGCAATGAAATTGGCGATGAGTATGGTGAAAAGCACTCAAGTGTTTCCAAATGGGACTACGCGAGTAAACATTTTTTTATTATTATTGTTTGAACTTTCGTTGGTTCTTTCCGAAAGAATGGCCTAAAATTTATGGAACAACCCTCGTTTTGGTTTGCTCATATTTACAACCATTGTGAAACAATCCAGCTTTCTCGTGATTTGCAATTTCCTGAAACATATTTTTCAAGTTACTTCTATTTGTCTTGAAGCTTGTAGAGAGTAGCAATACTTTTGGTTAGTTTCATGCTGGCCTGCAAATCGTATTTCACCATCTTGAAAGAAAAAAATTATATTCTTGGATTTTAGATGGAGTTGTGCAAATATTTTGAGACGTTGAAATTCTTTTGACTGGTCTCCTTCAGCCTTCTGATGGTTGATGCTCTTCACAAGACCATCAAGGCTCAGTTCCGCTTGAGATAAAACTTCCGCTGGCGGAGGAAAGCAATACTGTATTAGTTATTCATTAAATCAGTCCAACATGCCTTCCAGAATTCCCTTTCTTTCTTCTCTCAACGATTTCACTGTTGGTTTCATCCGCTTTTGGAATCCGGTCTTGAGAACCAGCTGGTCTCCCCAAAGCCGAATGCACTTTCTCTTCTCGACTCAGTAAAAATTGATGCAACCCCTTACAATACCGCGCAGCAGCAGCAGCCATCAAAAGAAAAAAAAAATAATAACCGGAAGCTTACGGAGTCCACGACCCCCGAATAATTACTCTCTCACAACTCAGGACGTAACAAAAAGATTTTCCTTTTTACATTTCCGAGGCACACATCCCTGACTGCACAGAGGGCCAAGCATAGTTGTCGCTTCTCTAGTAAAACGTCTCACGTGTTGAACAGAGCCCCACGCGGGGGACAAAACGCTGCGCTCCGGTCGCGGGTGGGAGAGGACAAAATGTATGAAACCTGTGGGGAATCGAAGCTCGATTCGTTTCTTTGCAAAACAAAAAAAAAGTAATTTGTACCTGAAACCAAATTTTTCACCTTTACTCGCCTTCGCGAGATGCCCTACAATATCGCGCGACAACAAACGAAAGAAAAAAAAAGCCTGCTTGATTGATTGCTGCTGCAGTCTCTCAGCGCTCAAACAAACCCAGCAAAGAGTTTCTTCTGGCAAGCGATCAAGAGGGGGAAGAGAAACACTTGCTTAGGAAGGAGGGGAAAGTAAAACGGCACAGCTCCAAATTTTCCTCGCACTCGTACAATCCAATCCAGATTCTCTACAAAACCAAAAAAAGGAAACAGTTGCACGCTGCCCGCAGCCTAGTCGCCATTGCCAACGGAGATTTCGCGCTTGGGGCTGCCATCTAAGGAAGGCCCACCGCCGCCACACGCCGGTTGCGGCGCCACCTTCTTCAGAGCCGCTGCCGCCGACGCGGGAGACGTCAGCGACGGGGGCGAGCCGTTCGACGAAGTTGAGTCGGAATGGGGTGCCGGGGAACAGGAGCGCCGGCCACACAGCTCTACGTTCTCAGACGTCTCTTCAGCGAACACCTCGGAGTCCTTCCGCAAACCGTCCGTCTTGACTGCAATATAGATTTAGTCAGCGATCAATGGATCGCATTCAAACGCACAAGTTTTGCTCAACGAACGAAAAACTGCTCTACTTATATCCATAAGCACAATCGGAGGTTGCATCAATAGAAGAAAAAAAACCCATCTTTGAAACACAAAAGTCGAATTATTCTGGCTGTGATTAACCGTGTCTAGATTTTGCCTCACTAAGGAGGAGCAAGGAATTTTCACTAATTCTCTGATTTACCAATTGTCCAAGCTAGCAAACTTCAAATTTTCCCAGAATGTCAGAAAGAATGTCACTGTAACTGTAAATCATACTTTCGCCCCATCTATTGATTCGAAATTTTCAACATCCGACTGATTACTTCAATTGATAGGTAGAGCATCAACCGATCGGAGTATTAACTTCGAATTTCCCGTAGATGCAGGAACAACGTTCAATTGTGCATAATGGATGTCTGAATTCCTCTCTAAATCTTAGTTCAAACAAATAAATAAGGCGAAGTCACACTTGATAGAAACATTTTTCACACAGTAAGTGAAATTCGCTTCAATAAGAGATGAGCGTGCGTTTTAAATTTGGACGAAAAATGCTGGCTTTAAGGGGATTCATGAGTACAACATTGATTGACAAATAGAACTGCAAGAAGCAGCTCATTCGGTTCACTCTTGCTAGTCTTGACTCTTGAACGAAAACTCTCACGTTGCCATTTTATTGTTCCTGAAGACTTCGGCTAGGATTTCATTTAAAATAAAATTAACTCAATCTGCGCTTCGTAAGGGCCCTAGGATGAAGGGAACTTTGAGCAATCGAGTTCTTTGGATTAATAACGTCTCGCTTTAGCGTAAATGACGTGTTTTCCTCATTACAATTATGCTAATATACTGGTATGAAAATTTATTTTCCTTTTACTTGGGGGACAAGAACGTCATCTTAAAGGACAAGTGTAACTTCACCCGCATTGACAAAACACTCAAAATTCCAACGTCATGAAAAAATAGATCTATCAAAATGTTAGATCAGAAAATAGGATTTCACGGGAGGCACTTCTACTTTACTGCTGACTCGCGCTCATGTCGGTCGCGACAGCTAAACAAAATTGAATAAATACACGTAAAAAATCAAAATGGAACGTGTCAACAAGCAAAGGATGGGAATGCACGCCAAAATGAAAACATGCTGCGGGGGGTTAGGCAGACGTCATGCCATTTTTGTATACCTTTGGAATTTTTCTAATCCATCATTCTTGATTGCTTCCCCTTGAGCAGAGCCCAGTATGTCCTACTCATCAACTGGACGCAGCGGGGTAAAAAAAAAAAAAAACGAAACGGGCATTTTGATGATGACGTTACGTTGAAACAAAGGACTCAATTTGTTTTTATAAATCGACTGCATAAACGGGGTGTGGAAATCTGCCTTACCTGCGGGATCCAATACGAGGTATTTCAAAATATCAGACAGCGACACGACGCCCACGACTGAGTCGTTCTTGTCCACGACAACGAGGCGATGCACCTGGTAGCGAAATAACAGTAGGACAATCTCTCACTTACAATCCATAATTCCAATTCATAAAATTTATCAACAAAAATAACAACACCCACCTCAGCCTTGGCAATTTTTTCCATCACATTTCCCAGAGAATCCGTTTTGCAGCACGTCTGAACACCTTCGAACCAGTCATGTCGGTGCGCATTCGCTTCTTTCAAGGTCATGTCCAGGTTGTCGTAAGTCTTCGCGGCTGCCAGGTTCTACAAAAAGTAATTTCAAATTTTGTTAAACCAGAAGTACTTCACATACAAAACTCAATAGGAAATGAGGTTGAAACAAATTCGCAAAGGAATTCCTAAAACGTTTCCAGAATATTCAAAGCACGGTCCTCTTCATACGAACCTCTTCAAGTCACCAGCAAAAAAATTCGAGTAAGGGAAATGATATATTTTTTGGCGAGCGAAGAAAGAAGAATGACACAAGTTCATTATTGGCAATGTTCGGGGAATTAAATTGCATCTTAAATGAGTTGACATGATAATGAACTTGGAGGCAAAGGCTCTGTTACACCAATTGTCTTTCACTTTCTTACAAAACACGTGCAGTTACATATTTATTGCTTTTCTCTTTCTCAAGTCAATGAAATAATGCCCAAAAAAAAACTCCAGAAAATTTCAATTTATGTAGGTTTGAGGAGGAAAGCCTTCAAATTAGGAAGGTTTTTAATGCAATTGATTGTATGGGAATTCAGAGAGGGACGTGGGGAAAATATGACTTCGGAAGGTTCGAGTCATCGAGGATCAATTGCATGTTTGAAGGCGGTTGCCTACACCAAAAATACCCCTGTAACACTCATGTTCCCCAATCAAAACTGGCACTGTACAGTAATAAAAAAAAACAGTGCCACAATTATATTTTAATCCTTCACTTTTATGATCAATAGGATTTATTTTTTTAATTCACATTAGAGAGAATTTTTAATTTTTTTAAGTAAGTCTTTTAAAATAATATACTTATATAATATATGGCTTCTTCCTGTTTTAAGAACTCAATTTTTATCATCCACGTAAAACCGGCCTTTCTTTTTCCTTCCAAAATTTTCCTCTTATTTTCTGATAGCTTTCAGCCCAGAGAGACGGCAGCAAGATTGTGTGGATACGTTAGGAAAACAAAGAGAGAGCGAGAGAGAGAGAAAAAAAGAGTAAGACAACAACTCACAATCACGTCAAACTTGGCGTAGATGTTCCGGAGCTTTCCGTGCTCGTCGAGGACCGGCAACGCGGACACGCGACGGTCAATAAACAGCTTCAGGGCCTCGATGATGGGCGTCGACTCGTGAGCCACGGCTACGTTCTCGTAGGAACCAATGTTCAGCTCTTCCAGCGTCTTCTCCAAAAACGACGGCCGGGGTAACTCGTGCAACTGCGGAATGAACAACACCATTTTTCAAAGATTGATTCCAGGAAAGAAAAAAACAAGTATGTCGAGGTAGACTCATCATTTCTGAAAGCCCCGAATGATCATCAAAAGACATAAGAACCATTGATGGGATTTTTGAAAACATGTTTATTGCTGTGCTCTTCGTTTTCCCCCAGAATAATAGCCCAAATGCATCCGGAATTGGGATTCATGAATGTTGAAGGGAGAAAAAGTCGGCAAGTTAGGTAGGTCTATATTAAACTATTCTTCAAATACTGCAATTCAGCCAGGGATCAACGGACAATTGGACAACTGGAAGGTTTACAACTTGGTGAGGTTCAAGTTACCAAGGTCAACTAACTGTACATACAACATTCACTTGACTTCATTTATCACTGAATGGATTCACGATAATATATTAGTACAGTATTAAACTTTTAGCCCTCCAGTTTATCAACAAATATTTTACACAGTCCTATCCTTAGTTGGCTTTCAACTCGATTTTGGACAAACTAGTCAACAGTCTACCATGAACAAAGCTGTCAAATATTATTCAATTGAACCTTGATAACTCGAATTGCTTCAAGTCTAATCTTTATTTTTTAAGTACTCGTCTGAATCCCATTCGAAACGCCCTCCATAACTAATTTTCTGGAGGCCTGTTGAATATTGCGTTATTGACACAGGAAAGAGAAAAGCAATGCAAATTCAACTCGATGTGCTTCGAAAGAAAATGAAAGACTATTTCAGTGAATTAAACGTTGCCTCCAAGTTCAGCATCCTGTGAACTACTCCACGAAGTAATGTAAGGCCCAGAATACCGCCAATTACTGTCATTCTCCTTTCTTTTTTCCAACAAAATTGCTTACTTCCTTGAATCGAAACCTCCCAAACGCGATTTTTTTTTTGCGTACACCATTCCGGATACCAATGGTTTGAGAAGACCCGGTATAAAAAAAACTAAGGCCCATCAGAAGTATTTATAAAAAAAAACTGAATGAGGCGAAAAAGAGGAGATGAAAGCAGCTCACGTAGAGACACAGGAACCGGAAAATCCTCTTGTGGGTGACGATATACAAGACGTCACCGGTAATGGGATCAATCACAGGCAATCTATGGATACGGTATTCGACGAGCCTCTGAATGGCGTCGAACAGAGACGCGTCCGGGCCGATGCTCACCAACGGCGCGAAATGAACTTCATCCAAGTCATCTGCTGGGGAAGATTAAGAAGAAGAAAAAAAAAAGTCGTCAGTATTAGCACAACTTTGATGCGTTCGCAAAAGCGAACTTTTTCAATCGCTGTGATGTCTGTACATTATAATCACTCAAATATGAAACGAACTTCTATTATCGAGCATCACAGAAATCGAGAAATTTTGTCTATACAAATAAAATGCGCATTGCGTTAAATTTCCTCGACTAGCGCAGAACTTTTTCCCACATAAATTGAACTCTTCCGTTCTTGTCCTAATAATGTAATTGATTACAGCAAGACCGTATCTGGCAAATTTTCTTGTCAAGAGGTTTCCGAATTAATAGACGCATCGAATATAATTATGAGACATCAATTTTAGACAGGTGGACTCTCTCTGCATCAATCTCGTCTACAACGACTTTCTATGCATAAAGGATTTTTTGTTGGGATTCCAAGGGTCGTCTCTCATTTTTAAACAACGAAATTCGTTCTACAGCGGATTTATTCTGATCCAACGAATTTAGTTGTAAAGAAGGTCCATCTGTGCGTAACTAAGGCATTTACAGGATTGGCTTTGCCCAATATTTTTTTTTCTTTTTTCAAAGAGTAGTCGAAAAACTTTGAATTACTGTACAGTCATTAGAAGTTGTTCACAACGCATTTCCCCCTCTATTTTACATGAGATATTCAATTCGCAATCAAGCTTCCGAGTGAAGAAAAGAAAATTTGCTTCTAGTGTGCTCGAGTAAAACCCCGATGATGGATTTGTCCAGAAAGATTTTTGTGGTTTAAAGAGGTTGACAGTTTATCAAATAGATCATTTCAAATTATTCGATTACAATTATTCGACTTTCCTCCAAGAATACCAGAAATACAGTCAAGGTTTTCTAGAAACTTCTAACATTTTCTGGAGTACAGCAATGCTGTGATATTTGGATTTATCTCACAGAAAACGAATTTTACTCCAACAAATTTGAATTTTACAATTAGGCCTATATATTCTTTAAAATTCAAAGAAAATATAAGCCTAAAAGTAAAATTCAAATTTGCTTGGGTGATATTATAATTTATGTCTGGGATCTAGGATTAAAACTGGGAAATTCTTGTCTATTGTCCATTCTTCTGAATAATTTGAAGTTCAAATTATTCAAAAGAATAGACATCATCATTTTTTAAATGCAAGATCCCAGACAGAAATCATAATTCCACCCAAATGTTGGCGTAGGCAGAAAGACAAAAGTAATACCTTACAAAACTTTTATTTCACCATTAATAATGGCGGTTGGCGTTCTATTGAGGTTTTCTAGATTATTTAACATATTGATACTTGTTCAAAACAACATTTTGGTGGTTGCGAAGGGTGTCGCTTCATCCGGGGGCGTTTTAACGGAGTTTGACTCGTGATCATTAAAAAAAATAGTGAAAAAAACAAATACGCACTTCTCCAAGAGGCCAACTTGTGGTCTTCCAACTCGGAGATGTGCTTTCCGGGAGACTTGTAGTATTTCTGCAGGATCCGGATAAAGTCCGTGATAGTGAGCATGCCGCAAAACTTTTGGTTGATGGAGTCCCACAGCGGCGCCGCCCGCACCCCGTTGTACACCAGGGCGTAGAAGGCCTTCTTCACCTGCAGCTGAGTGTCGAACACCACCAGCTTGGCGGACGTCGGGATCAGATCGTAGCATTTGTGAAAGCGGAAGAACTTGACGTAAATCTGCGACTCGTCTCCCTCTGCAAAAAAAATAAATAAATAAATGAGAATAAAACACACGTCTAAGCAAAAAAAAAAAAAATGTCAAACCACATCATCTTTTTCCATGCGCCATCATGTAAGAATCACAACTTTCGGGATGCAATTTATTGAAAAAATTCATTATCGCGAAAAAGACGCACAACCTAGTGATTCTGGAGTATGAGTAAATTTCCTGGGGAATTTCAACGCTACAATTCAAGATTTAGAATTTTAGATCAATAAAAGTTAAATTCAATTGAGCTGGCTTTTATTTTCGGTTCACAGATTTAACCGACGAATTTGTTGACCAGCGGTTGACTTCATAATGCAATGGTCTCTTAATTCCTAGAAATGAAAAAAAAATCTAGCAGGGACATCCAGAAACTAGCCTCGCTGGCAAATGAGAAATACAATTTCTATCCTCTCCTAATTTACTATTCTCGGGATGGATGCTTTTTTCAGCGGTCTGAATCATACATGCAACAGTCGCCGTCCATTTGCTTAATGGAATTTGTGTGTCAACACGTCGCAGTTGATGAGTGACCCTAATTCGGACTTACAAACAAAAAACGAAGCAAGCGACTTCGAGAAGCAGAATAATAAATAACCAGACGTATTGTTCGTTACAAATCATTCAAGAATGATACCAGGGGAAAACTTGGCATGAATTCTTCGATTCCATTTCCTCTATTCTGATCAAAAAGTTGCCAGGATCGACAGAGCAATAAATCGGGAAAACTTCAGCAAACCTTCAGAAGATCGCATCGAAGTCTTGTAATTGTTCTCACAGAAGTTAGGGGGATTCTTATTAAAAAACCTTCGTTCAAATATACAGTGGGACCCAAACATACAGAAGATTCGACTTCGACGATTCGTTGGGTTACACGATAAAATTATCCTTATTCATTATCAATAACAGGCTAGTTTTGTGCTTCTTTTTTATTTTTTAACAAAGAGAGCAAGGTTTTTTTTTCTTCAATATGTGCTCAGTATAGCAATACTTGTGCTTCTTATTTGCTTCTTGCGCTCCTTATTCTCGTGCCAAAAAATCAGTTGCTAAGTGGTTTTCTTCTGGACATTTATTTTCTGTATCTAGAAGTTGAAAAAAAAGATTTTATCCAATTCTCGAACGGACTTTTTCTCAATTATTGATCAAAAGGAGAACCAATTAAAAATATTCCCATCGTAGTCTATTGGAAAACGAGGTCCGGCATGCTGACGGACATCCCGACATACGGACGAAGTCCAGGCACCAATTATGCCCTCTCTCATAAAGCATTTCAGTCAAGGTACTGAACAAACTTCCCAAACCATCTNTCAATAAAAGTTAAATTCAATTGAGCTGGCTTTTATTTTCGGTTCACAGATTTAACCGACGAATTTGTTGACCAGCGGTTGACTTCATAATGCAATGGTCTCTTAATTCCTAGAAATGAAAAAAAAAATCTAGCAGGGACATCCAGAAACTAGCCTCGCTGGCAAATGAGAAATAAATTTTCTATCCTCTCCTAATTTACTATTCTCGGGATGGATGCTTTTTTCAGCTGTCTGAATCATACATGCAACAGCCGCCGTCCATTTCCTTGATGGAATTTCTGTGTCAACACGTCGCAGTTGATGAGTGACCCTAATTCGGACTTACAAACAACAAACGGAAGCAAGTGACTTCGAGAAGCAGAATAATAAATAACCAGACGTATTGTTCGTTACAAATCATTCAAGAATGATACCAGGGGAAAACTTGGTATGAATTCTTTGATTCCAAAACAAGCTCCAGATCAGAGTATAATTTCCTCTATTCTGAACAAAAAGTTGCCAGGATCGACAGAGCAATAAATCGGGAAAACTTCAGCAAACCTTCAGAAGATCGCATCAAAGTCTTGTAATTGTTCTCACTCAAGTTCGGGGACCTTCGTTCAAATACTGTATGCAGTGGGACCAAAAAATACCGACGATTCGACTTAGGGACATTTACAATTTAAAAATATACCCCCCTCGACATCCGGACAGTGACTCGAAATATGGACACTTTTTCAACATTTCCGGAAAAAATACACTTTTCCAAAATTTCCAGAAAAATAGACACTTTTTAGCCCTCACACGTTGCATATTTCTTGAAGATATTGAACTATTCAGATTCACACATGCTAAGAATGGGTTACAATTACATGATAAAATTACCCTAATTCATTATCAATAACAGGCTAGTTTTGTGCTTTTTTATTTTTTGAAAAATAGAGCAAGGTTTTTTTCCAATATGTGCTCATAGTGGCAATACTTGTACTTGTTCTTGGCTTCTTGCGCTCCTTATTCTCGTGCCAAAAAATCAGGTGATACGCGGTTGTCTTCCGCACATTTTTTTTCTCTTTCTAGAAGTTAAAAAAAATATTTTATCCAATTCTCGAACGGACTTTTTCTCAATTATTGATCAAAAGGAGAACCAATTAAACATATTCCCATCGTAGTCTATTGGAAAACGAGGTCCGGCATGCTGACGGACATCCCGACATACGGACGAAGTCCAGGCACCAATTATGCCCTCTCTCATAAAGCATTTCAGTCAAGGTACTGAACAAACTTCCCAAACCATCTCTCGTTTTTATCCCCTCGTAAGAGAGAAAAAAAGTTCGTCTCCAAATATCGTCCAACACGACCAAAAAAGTCAATAAAATTGCAGGATTCCCAATAAGTCGTACCGAAGCCTCGCAACTCGGCTTGAATAGCTGCAATCCGCTTCTTCTCCACGTCAGCCCATTCCTGGATCTGGTCAACCAAGTACACGTCACCGGAATCTCGCAAATCATGCGGACTGAACCAGTTGGAATACAACAACAGGTGTAGCTCGCCACGGGAAATCCCGACAGGTGGCGTGCGGGACCCGTGGCGGAGACACTGCTGAGACCACCGCGCCAGACCGAACCCACGACGACGACGTCGGGTGTCCTCACTCTCTCCAACAATTATCGACGACGACGACGACACCACAGTCTACCCTCTTTCCTTTACCCGCCTTTTAATACTGTTTAGCGAAATAGAAGACACCGAAACGAGACATTTTCTAGCGTTCGTCGCTCATCAGTGATGAGAGATCGTCACTATACATATTTACATGACGCTGCGTATTGAGACAACCTGATCAAGAACAAACTAATTAGAGTGGTACCCCGGATAATGGACTCATTCGCACAGCAGACTTTGGCTACGACACATTTTTGCTTGGGATAATGCTGTCGGCTTCAAATAATACACTGCACGATAATCGATTGCTCATGAAAATCCGAAGTTTCAGAAAATACAGTAGAACAAATATTCTCATGTTTTAAATAAGGAAAAAATTAATTTTTCTCATCGTGTTCATCTGAAAGTTTTTCAACGAAAAATAGGGAGGTATTGGATTATTTCTGAATAAACGAGGAAGAGAGAAAATCTGTCTTGAACATACTGAAACTAAATGAATTAAATAGTGTGGAATATAATTTGCCACAGGAAAATAGTTTTGGATACACTTGATTATTCTGAAAATAGTTGTCTTCGATTCTGAGAATTGTTGCAGTTGTTTGACGATATTTATGTCATGAAATATCGTCGAACAACTGCAACAATTCTCAGGATCAAGGACAACTATTTTCAGATACCAACTATTATTTTTTACTTTGTTCGGTTATTTATTCGAGTACTGTTTTTGGTAAGGAAAAGTTCAGTGAACCTAAAATTAATTACTATTCAATTTACCTCCGCATAAATAAATTGTGGAATTTTTTGGAGGTCTGAAAGCTCAAGTAATTCCGAATGGTTTCACATCATTCGGCTAATGTTTCTTTTTGTTGAAAAATACGCTTCTCCCATGCAATGAATGAAGTCCTTCAACCAATGCATCATTGAAGAGTTAAGAGAAAAATGATACTGAACCAGTAGGGAATTCAACACATTACTTGCGGTTTTTTTCTAAAAATAGCAAGTGCAGTCTGAAAACCACCAGAAGAAGTTTATCAAAACCAAGAAAATTTTCGAGTTTTACGGATTTTCTTTCAACTAAAAACAAATTTTCTCTCACCCATCAGGCCGAAAAGAGACCCAGAAAAAAAGTCAATTTCTTACGGACTTATTGAATAAGAAAAAAGACCTGAAGTCGCTGGGATTTCCAAGACTTTCCAACAGCAACAAAAATAAAGCACTCTGTTTTTTCATCTCTGACCCCGTTATCTAGACAGAAAACGTTGTTTAGACGCAGATTTGCTTTTAGTTGGCCGATTCCCGACGTTCTTTGCAACGAAGCACGCAGTACGTAAACATCAAGGTTGGGGTTAAGTATAAAACACAGGTGATCGTTGACCTTGGCTTTCTGCCAACACGTACGGATTCTGCTACTCATTTTCTGCACGGTTTAAGTTGGCAGCCTTTTCTACCGAACAGCAATCACGGTATTGGATCCTCTCATCCTACGATACAAATCATAAGGACACAAAATAAATAGGGCCAATTCATACTGAAAACACGCAGTTCGGGTTTAATGTTGCGATGATTATTCCAAGCTCAAACCAGATTTTCTGAACTCGATGCTCGAGCGTGGATTTATTATGCTGTAAATTGTATTCCATAAATATGGTAATTGTTTACTCTTCGCACACAAGGTGTGGTAATTATTTCAGGGCCAATTCACGGATCACTTCACACACTTACATTCATTCAATCAACTACAGTACGTCAATAATTTAAATTCTTTAGTCAAGGAGATGAGTGAAATCAAGACTGAGAACACGTGTCATAAAATAGAAAATTATTTCCAAAGCATACAGTGAGACCCCGAGATGCGGACATAATTGGTGCATCAAGTTTGTCCTTAAGTTGAATTGTCCCTACGTTGAGTCTTGTTTTCCAATAGACTTACATTATATAATTTTAATTGGTGTTTTATGGAAGCAATATTCTTCAGAATTCCCTGAAAAGAATTGTTTGCCACTTGAATTTGAATTAGTGAATACATTTTCAACTCAATAAGAACATTTGGAGCATTGAATAGTGTACCTTTGCCCTATACATTGAAATTTTGGCATCTACAAAAATAACATTCAAGTGAAAAAAGTAAAGTCCCTCTATGCTAGAGGGTAATTTTTTAAAATTAGCTGAATGGATGGTAAATTAGTGAAAGAATGCTCAAGAACTTATCTTAAATCAATTTTAGGGTTGAAAATATCTGTTTCTTGTAATTTGGCCTGAAATCTATTTGCAATTTTATTGCAAAATGTCCCTATGTCGAGTCAGTGCCCTCATGTTGGGCCTCTTCATTAATTTTTTCTGGGAAAATAAGTGTCCGCATGACAAATTGTCCGCGAGTCGAGGTGTCCGCATGTGGGGGTCTCACTGTAACTCGAGAACTTGCAAGCAAACCTAGGTTTTGTAAAATTAACCAATACTGCATCACTCAAAACCACAGCATAGAGAGGAATACATATCGGGATAAAATACGATCATCTTGAACCGACAATGTTTTACATCCCGAAAATGAATTCTGTTTTTTTGTCCGATGGTTCATTTATTATTTTTTTTTTAGCCAGAGAGGATGAAGTCTGAGAATATTTATTCCTTAGTGAGAAAATATAAATCTTTTTGAAACGTGAACTCTTCCTGAAAATCCCACATCAGTTCGCGAGAAAAATGCGGGTATTATACCAGATCCCACCCGTCTCTCTTTCAAGAAAATCCTCAAAAAAAGTTTAAAAAAAAAAAAACATAAAATCTGCACCCCCTTCCGGACATTTCGGAAGTACCACTGGGAAGATTCAACCAAGTTTTCTCACACCCCCGTTCAGTAATTGTCTCCTCCGGAACCCAAAACCTTTCCTAGGTTATTCGAGTGCAAAAAACGCACACACACACACACGCACACACTGCGCTCTCATCACTCGTCCATAGGCACACGGATCCTCGTCTTCCGAGCTCGACCGACCGAATGCCAAATTCAACCCCTCTACCTCATCCCAATGCTGTGAAATGCCTTCGTCGCAAAAAAAAAAAAAAAGATTTTCAACGTCCGACGCAAAACAGAAAGGAAAAAATATTTTACACGAGAGAAAATCCCGCCCTCATGGTGTAAAGAAAAAAATAAACAGTTCCTGTCGAGGGGAGACGGGCTACCTTCAGACGCTTGGACCAAGACATGATCAGCGTGAACCTCAACATTTTAGAACGATATTCAAGCAAAAATACAGTATTTCAAAAATTAGCAAAGGGCAAATTTTGGAAGTTCACCACGATGGCTTTTGAATCGTTTGTGTTTCACGCTATAACACGAACTGCACGTCATATTATGATTTGAGAAACATATAAAACTTGTTGAAAATCATTCGAATTTCCAGACGCAGACAAGTGAATGCTGCGAAGTTGGAGTTTGTGCTGAAATTCCAACCGAAACTTTCAAATGTGAATGCCGCATTTTAATAAAATTAGAAATACTGTATTACGGTTGTTGTAGCCATTCCAAATTGATAAGGGGTTTCATTCCTCGCAAAATAAAACAAAATAAATCCAAAATGTGTAAACTATCCGCGTAAAGATTTGTCACAACCATCCAATGTGTAAATACAGTACAGTATTGTAATAAAAACCTCCATGAAATCGAAATTCTATAAATGAATTTAAATTCGCAGCACCCATGGTTGTTAAAAATGGAAACTGGAAAGTTACTAGGCATCTTTATCCAGAATCATGCTTTTTTTGAAAACGCATCCGAAACATGGATCAAGAACAATTGAACAGAATTGTCATCCGAACGTAAATTCAGGATCGTAATTTTTACGTACTTCATAATACGTACAGTATTTTGACAACTTCTTCCTAAGGTTAATTTCTTCCTTTCGTCATCGCGAGTGTAATAAAAAAAAAGGAAAGGAAAGATTCAAAATTAAATGGAATGAAATTTCATCGGAGCCTCGATTCAGTGTTTACCTCTCGTACTTCTAAAAATAAAGTTCGAAAACATCCTGGACCATCCGGTACATTAAAAGACTCCGCTGAGACGAATAAAACTTCCGAACAGACACCGTCCTCATTTGAAAAAAAAAAGAAGAAATAATTAATGATGGCGAGAGGAGAAAAAAGCTTGCTGACTAGAGGAAGACTCCGAGCACGGAGGTCACTTCCCATGCGCCGAAGACGACACGTTATGCCAAATGCTTTTATTTTTTCTTCGCAGTTTTCCAACTGGAAATTAGGACAGCGAGTGACATAATGATGGCGACTCATTCCTACTTAAATTCAGTACATCGAATCAGATACAGCATCGTACATTCCACTGACTTTTACTGACGATATGGAAAGAAGAGTCAATCAATTGCAAAAAAAACAAAAGCTTAGTCCCTTTGTAATAAAGTTTCCTTTCTTCTCATGAGCTACAGAAAAGACCACAGGCACGGATCCTCGGTGCCCAAGAAGAGCACTGATGAGACTTTTTCTAGGGGGATCAATTTTCTAATGGGATCCCTTTGTCTGATAAAAACTTCGCCAACTTTCCGAGTCGGCAGTGAACTTTTTTCCGTGAAATAACGTACAATATGGACATTCAGAACGCAGAAGAACGCGTGCGTGATCGAATGAAATTCAACTATCTTCATAAGGTGGAAAATAGGCAGATTTGCAAGCATTCTGCATGGTTCACTAGAGTTTTAATGTGAATCAAATACATGCAATTATCTTGAAATTTCCATGAATCTACACACTTCAAGTTACTGCATGGTAATGTAACGAGAACGGACATAAAAAAAAAAACTCANCATGTGGGGGTCTCACTGTAACTCGAGAACTTGCAAGCAAACCTAGGTTTTGTAAAATTAACCAATACTGCATCACTCAAAACCACAGCATAGAGAGGAATACATATCGGGATAAAATACGATCATCTTGAACCGACAATGTTTTACATCCCGAAAATGAATTCTGTTTTTTTGTCCGATGGTTTATTTATTATTTTTTTTTAGCCAGAGAGGATAAAGACTGAGAATATTTATTCCTTAGTGAGAAAATATAAATCTTTTTGAAACGTGAACTCTTCGTGAAAATCCCACATCAGTTCGCGAGAAAAATGTGGGTATTATACTAGATCCCACCCGTATCTCTTTCAAGAAAACTCCTCAAAAAAAATTTAAAAAAAACAAACATAAAATCTGCACCCCCCTTCCTGACATTTCGGAAGTACCACTGGGAAGATTCAACCAAGTTTTCTCACACCCCCGTTCAGTAATTGTCTCCTCCGGAACCCAAAACCTTTCCTGGGTTATTCGAGTGCAAAAAACACACACACACACACACGCAGACACTGCGCTCTCATCACTCGTCCATAGGCACACGGATCCTCGTCTTCCGAGCTCGACCGACCGAATGCCAAATTCAACCCCTCTACCTCATCCCAATGCTGTGAAATGCTTTCGTCGCAAAAAAAAAAAAAAAAAAAATTCAACGTCCGACGCAAAACAGACGGGGAAAAATATTTTACACGAGAGAAAATCCCGCCCTCATGGTGTAAAGAAAAAAAATAAAACAGATCCTGTCGAGGGGAGACGGGCTACCTTCAGACGCTTGGACCAAGACGTGAACCTCAATATTTTAGAACGATATTCAAGCAAAAATACAGTATTTAAAAAATTAGCAAAGGACAAATTTTGGAAGTGCACTTCGATGGCTTTCGAATCGTTTGTGTTTCACTCTATAACACGAACTGCACGACATATTATGATTTAAGAAAAATATAACACTTGTTCAAAATCATTCAAATTGCCAGACGCAGAAAAGTGAATGCTGCGAAGTTGGAGTTTGTGCTGAAATTCCAACCAAAACTTTCAAATGTGAATGCCGCATTTTAATATAATTAGAAATACTGTATTACGGTTGTTGTAGCCATTCCAAATTGATAAGGAGTTTCATTCCTCGCAAAATAAAACAAAATAAATCCAAAATGTGGAAACTATCCGCGTAAAGATTTGTCACAACCATCCAATGTGTAAATACAGTACAGCATTGTAATAAAAACCTCCATGAAATCGAAATTCTATAAATGAATTTAAATTCGCAGCACTCATGGTTGTTAAAAATGGAAACTGGAAAGTTACTAGGCATCTTTATCCAGAATCATGCTTTTTTTGAAAACGCATCCGAAACATGGATCAAGAACAATTGAACAGAATTGTCATCCGAACGTAAATTCAGGATCGTAATTTTTACGTACTTCATAATACGTACAGTATTTTGACAACTTCTTCCTAAGGTTAATTTCTTCCTTTCGTCATCGCGAGTGTAATAAAAAAAAGGAAAGGAAAGATTCAAAATTAAATGGAATGAAATTTCATCGGAGCCTCGATTCAGTGTTTACCTCTCGTACTTCTAAAAATAAAGTTCGGAAACATCCTGGACCATCCGGTACATTAAAAGACTCCGCTGAGACGAATACAACTTCCGAACAGACACCGTCCTCTTTTGAAAAAGAAAGAAAAAATAATTAATGATGGCGAGAGGAGAAAAAAGTTTGCTGACTAGAGGAAGACTCCGAGCACGGAGGTCACTTCCCATGCGCCGAAGACGACACGTTATGCCAAATGCTTTTATTTTTTCGAGCGTCAAAAGGTTGACCTTTAATCCTGTCGCTCACTGTATTACTACCGCTGAGTAAGGATGAATTTAAGTCATGTAGCTTAGTCTATGTCGTAGCATGTAAGGTGACTGAAAATGACTGCTATACCAAAGAAGAGTCAATCAATTGCAAAAAAAACAAAAGCTTAGTCCCTTTGTAATAAAGTTTCCTTTCTTCTCATGAGCTACAGAAAAGACCACAGGCACGGATCCTCGGTGCCTAAGAAGAGCACTGATGAGACTTTTTCTAGGACGATCCCTTTTCTAATGGGATCCCTTTGTCTGATAAAAACTTCGCGAACTTTCCGAGTCGGCAGTGAACTTTTTTCCGTGAAATAACGTACAATATGGACATTCAGAACGCAGAAGAACGCGTGCGTGATCGAATGAAATTCAACTATCTTCATAAGGTGGAAAATAGGCAGATTTGCAAGCATTCTGCATGGTTCACTAGAGTTTTAATGTGAATCAAATACATGCAATTATCTTGAAATTTCCATGAATCTACACACTTCAAGTTACTGCATGGTAATGTAACGAGAACGGACATAAAAAAAAAACTCATGGAAAAAGTTGAGGCAAAGGCGCGCGGGACTAAGACAACATGGGAACGCATCACCCTTAAAAAAAAGCAGACATTTTTTTTGGATACTTTTATTATAAATGTTCATTCTTTGTATTTCAATGGTATTACAGTTTAACTATATTACTAAAAAATTGAAAATGTATACTGTACGGTGTTAAAATTCATTTGGAGGAGATTTCAACAATCTTATAGATCCAAACTTTCAACGAACAAAGACAAAAGCGTAGTAAATGCTTCATTTTGGCTAATTATGCAGGCTTAAATGTAAAAAAAAGAAAACGAACCCACGAGCACAAACAAAACTACAGTATCTTTTTCACGTAAAATAATAAGAAATATGGGGGCACGAAAAAGTCGCTTTGTGCATTCAAAGGACACTAATGCTCTTCGACTTTTCAATCCCTATAGTTTTATTCGTAGTTTTCTTGTGACTCGTGAATAAGAAGACTTGACCTTACTGTTCGCTCCTACGTAGAGTTACCTCTATTCCCTTGAGAAACTGACTTCCTACCAAGTTGTAGGCAGTTGAAGTCTTCCATTCCACTACGCCAATTTATAAAACACATGGCGAATTTTAAAAACAAAATGACCGAGTACGCAGTCAATTTTGCGAATAAATTATTTAAAAAAATAAAGTGCGTTGTTCTTCCATTGACGGCTGCAGGGAAAAATCAAATCTTACTTTAAAATGTTTTCACGATTTTCTCCAAGTACTGTAATGTATATTCCTACATTTTCCAAGGACACGCGTCCTTATTTTCGCGCACAAGTCTTTCGGCCTCAAGATCTTTTCGGTGGTTTGTCACTCATTTTGTTGCTAAGAAAAACGAAAATGGATGGAGTTACGAATAATTACGAATAACGTAATTCAGGCAGCATAAGGGCAGTTTCCTGTTGACTTGAATTAACGAAGTATAATTGTATCCCTCTTTTTGCTGTCACTTGCCATGCCACTAACATCACACCCGCGTGCGTA